TTTCCAGCCATCCAGCTCAGAGAACAAAACTTTATCAAAATCATCCACCTGAGCTACAAATCTTCTCCGCCATCTCAGAATCACGACCCATAAACCTACATGAACCCGGATTTACTTACTTGTTGGTGAAATTAAGACTGCAGATCATCAAACATTGAGACACCTTGACTGAAATCTTGGATCAAGCCACACACACCACTACATTAAAAAAACATTCAAAAAGGACAGTGGTATTTTTCCTCGCTTAGTAAATTCTATTGTTTTGATCGTTTATACGTATCAAAACTACTGTTTTTCACTTTAATTGAGATTCTTTCAGTTAAAGTATTCGATTAAATTATCGTTTTTGTTTCTAAAGTAGTTTTGTTGTCAGTACTTTTGAGTACTCTGTTTTTTATAGTATCTGTTAGTACTTTTGATTCTAACGATCCACAGTTTTTTACTTTTTTGGTCATAGATTATTTTTTGTCCCTGAATATTTTCGCATCTAGTTCTTTCTAAAAAAAACCCGTGTTTAAATGACTGGACAGTGCAAAAAAAGTAATTGTCAACGCCTGGGCTGTCGTTATCCTGTTGAAAGCGGCATGCAGTGCGATGAGTGCAAAGGATGGTACCACGAAGTTTGCACAAATTTAACGCCTGCAGCTTTCAAACGGTTCAGTAGGAATGGTTGCGTATGGCTCTGTCAACAGTGCTGTTCGGATGCTAACAGCTTGCTAACCGAGGCCATCTCATTGGTTAGTGCTGCTAAAAAGTGTTTTGGCAAGAGTGGTCGCGACACATCATCAAGTACTCGCTCCGTTGACACGCAAATTGGCGTGAGGCAAACTCAAGTGAGTTCGAAAACAGATGACTCGCACCGACCAAAGGAGGGAGAACAGTCCCCAAAGAGTTCTGTCCGCACAAAAAACTCAAGGAAAAAAGTTTCTTCTGTCCCACGTCCTCAAAATGGTATCCAGAAAGAAACACATAGAAGCCGCAACCGCAAGGCTCGATCAGTTTCTAAAGGGACACATAACCTGACCTCCCAAGTCATCGAAAACTCTCCGGAATCCCACAGTATGTTTGACGCGACTGTGGTTGCTTCTCCAAGCAACGTTGACGAATGGGTACAGGTTGTGAGGAAGAAACAGAAAAACGATGTAAAAGGGAAACCTGCCCCCACAAAAGTAGTCGAAAAATCGAAGGCTGATCACAGTAACACATCAGTCATTTTTCATAGGATCAAGGAGAGCGAAAGCTCCGAACCAAAAACTTGTTTTGAGCATGACATTGTCCTGATAAAACAGCTACTTAATCAACTCATGCATCAAAATATCTCCGGAGTCACCTTGCTAAAGGTGTATAGACTAGGTAGTTTAGCGAACTTGAAGCCTAATCAATCTAGACTGCTTAAAGTAGTTTTCAAATCTTCGAATGAAAGGGACTTAATTTTGCAGAATGGACAAAAATTAAAGGGTTCGGGAGTTTTTATCCAAAAGGACTTGCCGCTGGCAGACCGTGTAAAAAGACGGGAAGCCGAAAAAGAATTACAAATGAGGTTAGACTCTGGCGAAAAGGACCTGAAAATTTTAAATTTTCGGGTTGTGAGGCTTCGTCAAAGAATGATGGCGAAGCCACTCTGGGTGAAACACGAAGCCACTTAAATAGGCCACGGATCTGTTACACTAATGCCCGAAGCTTGCTCAATAAGCTATCGGAACTAGGTGAACAGATTGACTCTACAGAGCCAGACATAATGGCAGTCACAGAAACCTGGCTGACACAGTCTATAGGTAATATGGAACTCGATTTTGAGGGTTTTACTTTAGTAAGGAACGACAGAATACATAAGCGTAAAGGAGGGGGAGTAGCTCTATTCATTAGAAATGCCATCCCGTTTGTCATTATTGATAGTGTATCCCATGAAAGTGGGACGTGTGAATTGGTTAGTTGCCGCTTGAAATTCGAGGGGCAAGAGCTGCTGATTGGTTTGGTCTATCGCAGTCCAAGCTGTGAGGTAAATGATGTCCTGTTAAACAGGTTCAGTACTTGGTCGCGAAGTGGTCGATGTCTAATTCTAGGGGACTTTAATGCACCTATGGTAGACTGGGGAAATCTGCGAACCGAATCATCAGATAATTCCTTCGAGCAGGAACTAGTTGATGCGGTTATAACATGTGCCCTAGTGCAACATGTGAAAGAAGCGACTAGGTACGACACTATGAGGATGACGTTGCGAACCTCCTTTACATGCCACCCCTAGGCAAAAGTGATCATGCAGTTTTAACTTTTGACTTCCATATAACTGTCAATCACGAGCAAGCGTCAACTCAATCCAGACCTAATGTCTGGAAAGCAAGCATACCAGATATCATGCACTCGGCATCATTAGTAGATTGGACAATAGACCCAGAGTTCTCAATTGAAACGGCTTGGGATGCATTCCGAAATTTATACTTAAAACTTACCGCACCCCACATTCCTTGGACTATACCAAGGGAGCCGAGAAACTCCCCACCATGGTTTAATAGGGAGGTCCGCATCCTTCTCTGTAAGAGAAAAAAAATGTGGGATAGGTTTAGGTTACTGGGGACTGATGAGACAAAATCTCAGTATCGAAAAGCTAGGAATACCTGTGTCTCGACCCTCCGTAAGTCTAGAAAGCTGTACGAAGAAAAAATTGTTAAGGAATCCATAGAATGTCCTAAACGTCTGTATTCCTATATAAATCAAAGGACAAAAAGAAGAGGAATTATTCCTACACTATGTGGAGACAGTACTGCCGCATCGTTAGTGGAAGATGACTTTGGTAAGGCTCACGTGTTCTCAAACTACTTTAGCAATGTATATACCATAGAAGCACCCTTCCCGTCAGCGCATACAAACCCCCCCACACATACACTGGATAGCGTGACCATTAATGAACTCGATGTCTTTGATCTGCTAAATAAGCTTGACATAGGTAAATCCATGGGGCCCGATGAATTGCATCCTGGGCTACTAAAGGAATTATCTAACTTCGTTGCGAACCCTTTAAGTATATGCTTTAAGCTATCCGTTACGCAGGGTCGTTTACCAAAAGACTGGAACAACACCATAGTAAGTCCTGTCTTCAAAACAGGTACGAAACATAAACCTGAGAATTACCGACCCGTTAGCCTAACTAGTGTGGTTGTTAAAATCTTAGAAAAGATTATTCGGAAAGATCTGTTTAAATACCTCGATGTGAACCGAATCCTCTCGGAGAAGCAGCACGGTTTCAGAATAGGTTATTCTTGTCTCACTAACTTATTAGTCACTCGAGAAAGCTGGTGTGCTTTTAAGGACCAAAAGTTACCTGTAGACGCGGCTTACATTGATTTCAGCAAAGCTTTTGACAAAGCTCCGCGAAACCGGCTGTTACATAAGCTAAAAAATGTCGGAGTTGGAGGCAATCTATTGACGTGGATAGAAGACTTCCTTGTTGGGCGCCAACAAAGAGTACGGGTAAACTCAAAATTATCTAGCTGGGAAACTGTGCTTAGTGGAGTGCCCCAGGGTACAATTTTGGGGCCAATGCTATTCCTCTTGTATGTAAATGACCTTCCTCGCTTACTATCATCATCGGTCTTGCTATATGCTGACGATGTCAAGATATGGAGAACGATACGATGTAAGGGTGATAGCTTAGAACTCCAAAATGACCTGAAGAAATTATCCGAATGGTTTCATACATGGCAGCTGCCGATAAATACTTCCAAGTGTGTTGTGATGCATATCGGTCATCAAGGTTCAGATACATACACGATGAATAACACTGAGCTACCTGTTGTCCGGATACATAATGACTTAGGAGTAATCGTTAGCCAAGATCTGAAGACTACTGCACACCGCCGTGCAATAGCCGCCAAAGCTCTTAGAACTTTATGGTCGATACGTAGGGCTTTTACTCATGTCGACGCTCTAACGTTTTTGACTTTGTATACAGTGTTCGTACGTCCTAAACTTGAGTACTGCATACAAGCGGCTAGCATCTGCTTAAAAAAGACAGTGAGCTTTTGGAAAAGGTCCAGAGAACAGCAACTAAGCTAATTCCCGTAATAGCGAAGCTTCCGTATGATGCTCGACTGGTCAAGCTAAACCTATTCCCTTTCTCATATCGTAGAACTAGAGGCGACTTGATTACAGTATTCAACTTGCTTAGTGATAAATTTGCACCTGATATGCCCTCATTTTTCCCGTCTTTTAAAACAGAGAATTTACGAGGACACTCCAAAAAAGTTAACAAGCCCATAACAAATTACTTGTCAGCTAATTATCGACTTTCCCACCGAATCATCAACGAGTGGAATTCATTACCTCAACACGTGGTTGATGCTCTATCCGTAGATTCTTTCAAAAGAAAGTTGGATGTACTGAGAGAACACAATTACCAGGACTAACACAGGCCATCAAGCCTCCTGTCCTTTCCAAACTGAAACTGAAACCGAAATGAGGAACCTCTATCTCCAGGACTAGCACAGAGCATTCCGCTTCTGTTCCCGACAAAGTAAAATTGAAGCTAAATGTTGATTCAACGGCTAGCGACCGGTCAAAAGGTACACTGTTTTGTTTCTGAAGAGTGTTATATGACGCTTTTGTTTCTTTGGCTAAATTGTTATTTATTTTATGACCTTAAAACTTGTTTCTTGTTCAAAGTTGCATGGGTTTTTTGAGAATTCGTTTGCACAAGCATTACTCGTCCTTTCGGAATAGTTCCGTAATGCTAACCAAATAAAATATCATAAACGATTTATAGACCTATTACGGATTAAGCGATGTAAAGAGATTAGAACAAAAATGGCTACCTGTTATCCGGAAGATTGATTTCGAAAATTCAAGTGTAAGTTAACGTTTGTCATTAGTGCTAGATTCAGGACAAGGCCGTGAGTAAACAGAAGTCCCTTGTGTTGTCCATGTTCCCTTATCCATCTGGAAGTTTGCATATGGGACACTTACGAGTTTATACTGTTTCAGATGTTTTAACCCGCTATAAAACAATGTCTGGTGAGTTAACAATTTGTCCAATGGGTTGGGATTCATTCGGTCTGCCTGCAGAAAATGCTGCTATTGATCGAAGCGAAAACCCGTTGAATTGGACGCGAAAGTAAGCTAACATATTCAGAGGTCCATCCATACATTATGTGCCTATTAAAGTGTTTCTTAAAAGTTTTGTATGCTTTGTCTACATATATTTAGTCTGCAGTGTCAGTCTAAGGGTATGCAGTCTATATTTTGGCACCAAAATTCCAGGCGTTCAAACCTGGTTATATGAACTCGGTCGGTCAAAAATGTTTTCGATAATATACTTTGTTAGACATTGTTAAAATTTTTGCAGTGTTAATTGCGGTTAGCTAGCATGATCAAACCCCGTCGTCCGGTTGCTTTCTTGAATGGCTGTTTTGAATAACGAGTAAAAGCGCTTCAAGTCTTGTTTTCATAAGAAGTTCACACTTATTATAGGTAGTTTGATCGTTTTATTAGAAAATGGAGACCAACCAATATACTATCAATGTTTCTTACACAAAGGCTTTTCACTGTACTTTAACTAATTTCTCATCAGTTTTTTACTTCTGATAACTACCGTAAATTTAACTTTGACATTCTTGACTCGATCGTCCCACTCTGTACATATGATTATTTGAAGGCCCTTATGGTCGATTAATCTTGACATATCAATCGACGTAACAAATATTTGCAATCGATGATACTGATAAAATTACTCGGCGTTTCTTTCCGCTTTTGACACTCAGTATTTGAATTGAACTTCTGGTGTACGAAATTTAATTTAAAACACTTGAAGGTGGGACTATAATTTATGGACGAACCAATCACATGTAAGTTAACAGATCTCGGATTTTGGCACGAAATTCACTCATCTGTTTTGGATAGATAGTTTTGGAATAATAGCTGATGTCAGTTCGTGATGAAAACCCGAAATCTAATTCCTAACCTTAATCATCTACTGTGAATCATAATTCTGATTCCTCACACAGGTTTATAACCCTCATTTGGTCCTTGTTGTTAGGTGGACACGCTCAAATTCAGTCTAGCGTCTCTCAAAGGCCGTTCATAAATTGTAATATCACCCATTTCAATTAACCAATTCACCGGGACTTAGGTGTGTACCTTATTCTGAGTGTGGTGGCTGATGATACTACCCGGTTGTCCAAACTGAAGTGGATCCGAGTTCGAGTGTTTAGTGGCTGGGAGTTGGACGCCATTAGGTCTGGAGTCCTTGTTGGTTTTAAGAATTGTGTTACTTAACTCTAATAAACCGGTCTTTCTATTTGTTTTGATTGATTAAGTTAAGAAGTATAGTTAAAGGTAAGTTTCAAAGATGGTTCATAATGAAATATGCCAAATTCGGCGTGCGTAGCGGGACACAATGTATCACATTTTTGCACTTGAGTTATTTGTGAGTTTTTACACTCGATACTATAGAATGAGTTCCACAGTATGGTGTATTCTGGTAATTATTTGTTCATAGAGGGATAGAAATACTAGTTCCTATATGATGCCGTTAAGCTTCAAGCATAGCTGTCACCACGTTTATTAGATTACTGTCTCACACTTTGAAAACAATTTATACTAGTTAGCATTCCCGACAAGCTGGTAGTTCAGTGTATTAGAAAATGACTTGCAACTTAATCAACTTGAAATTCTAAACATAGTTCATATTACTTCGTATGAAATTTCAATAATTTTTACTTCAGTACGTTACATCGATCCATAAGGTCCTTAATAGCTTTTCTGATTTATTAAATTTAGACAGAGAATAATGATCCTAAGACAACTGGCACAAAGTTGGATACTAATTCTTTATTGACTTTATTTGAACACTAATATTGGTTCAAAGACACACCAAATACATATGCACCATCAGAGCTATTTCTAGAACGTCATCGATAGCAAAGTTGAAGAGGTATGATGAGATTGGACAACCCTACCTAACCCCTCTGCATGAATGGAGCCATCGAGAGAAGTGGTTGTATGTCTTCACTCTGCCGGAGGTGTTTATATATAGGGTTTTCTAGATGTTAATAAATGTCTCAGGCACACCCTTCTCCAATAGACAATCCCAGGGAACAGTCCTGTCCAATGAATCTTAGACGGCCCTGATGTATGACGGTGTTCTGACATTTGACGGAGGGTGAAGATATGTTCAATACATCCTCGACCAGAACGAAAACCAGCCTGCTCCTCTCGTGTCAATCTTTCTCGGGTTTTGAAAAATCTGCGGAGTATAACGGAAGACAAAATTTTCGACGTAGTCGAAAGTAGGAGGCACCACTATTATTATTATTTGAACACAGATATTGGTACAAAGAGGCACCAAATGTATATGCGCCACACGAATTTCATTTGAATTTTGCGAGGGCTGTGATACTGAACGGGTCCTCGAATCGAAACAGCTAGTTTTCTTAGGAGACCACACCCTGAGTCTTCGACTTAAAGGTCTGATCCAGAAGGCAGTGGAGCATCGTAAAGAGATTCAGTCCCATGGTAGCCCGTAACAAACGATTGGTTCATATGCCATTTGTTCCCTCAGGATACTGAAGCCAGCCCATGTGTACCATTGGTTTGAAATGAAGGTTTTTCATCTCCCCTAGGTAGACTCCTCATGTCCACCAACCCGATAAAAGCGTCCTCTCAATTTCGTAAACAACACCGGTGACGCGAGAGGGCAGTGAGTAGGACTTCCCTGGCAGAGGCTATATTCACTTGGCCATGTGAGAGTATTTCGAGAGGGTGAGCGGACTCTCCTCATTCTCGGCCGTACCAGGGCATTTGGGGGTAATTGAAAGTAGACTTATCCCCCGATAGTTCTTGCATTGGTGACGTGAACCCTTTTTAAAGTTAGGGACAGCTATCAACTCATTTCATGGTGTGGAAACACTCTAGTTGCAAGACAAGTTGTAAACAACTCGACCAGTTGCTTAACTAGAAAGTCACCACCATCTTTAAAAAGGGCCGGGGGTAAGTCATCTGGGCCTGGTGGTTTATAGCGCTTCAAGAGTTGAAGTTCCTTGCAGACTTCTGCCTCGTTAGGTGGATCAGTCGTCATAGGCAATCGAGGGCAGTACAGTATGGTCGATGTTCCCGGGACAGCAGACCAGTTGAACTGTTCCTCGAAACCTCCCCATCGTCCAAGACGTCGATAGATGTTAGTAATTTAAACTATCATCACAGATTGTTTCGCTCACACCAGATGAAATTGAGGGGACGAAAAGCGAATGTCCGGCGCTTTTACTGGGTTAGTGGGTATAGAGGATTCATCTAGGGGAGTTGGAAAACCTTGATTCCAAACCAATCGTGCTTATGGGCTCCAGGACCCTGAGGAACAAATGGCGTATGAACCAATCGTCGGTCACCGGTTACCACGAAACTTTATTTCTGAACTTTGCTCCACTGCTTTTTGGATTAGACCTTTAGGTCGAAGGCCACGGGTGTGGCCCCCTAAGAAAACTACCCGCTTCGGTTTGGGCACCCGGGCATAGACATAATGGTTCGAGAAAAAAGATTGAATCTATGGAAAAAAAATGTACAAGATAGTTTAAAAACCCGAGATCTAGGGAAAGACAAATTTTGGATTTATCTATGCAATTGCAACTGATTTTTAGTCATGCTATCCAACGTATCCAACTATTGGTTACGAAAATCGCGCAGACCCTAATCATGTAGTTTGTACTTATCAACATGGCTTAGTTCATCAATTGGTTGTTCTGTGGATCGACCCCACGTTTTGGTTTGCCCGCCTACAATTTCTAACCTGCTCGTTCCCATTGTTCCTATAGTTGTATTTTTATGTATTATTTCAGAAACATACTTACAATGAAACAACAAATGAATGAAACTATGTCTTTGGCTGTTGATTGGTCAAGAGAATTAAGCACTTGTGATCCCAATTATTATAAATGGACACAATGGCTATTTCTTAAATTATATCAATCAGGCATGGCTTATCATCGTCCAGCTTATGTTAATTGGGATCCTATTGATCAGACTGTCTTAGCAGATGAACTTATTGACAGTCAAGGATGTTCATGGCGTTCTGGTGCTAAAGTAGAACGACGTCCTTTACGTCAATGGTTTTTCCGAACAACTGCTTATTCTGAGGTATGTTAACATGTATCGAGTAGTTTTCATGTGTTGCTTTTTGTATCATATACTAAAAAAAGGTTTTAAATCATTTTTATCGACCTTATTCTACAGGATAATATACCGTATTAGGTTAGTTAGAAGGTTACAGTATTCATTCAACAAATGAGTGATGGATCTATTAAAATTAATTATAGAATATCGATTATAGTTTCGTTTTTACTGACTTAATTTAAAACAGTGCAATAAAGTGGTTTCTTTTGATACTCATATTTCAGTTGTACATTTTTTTGTTTTATTCATTTAGAGCGAAATGGAACCTTAGTCTTTCAAAGATGTACAGTTCTTAGGCAAAAGTTATGGGTTTGAACCTTATCCCACTTATTTCGGTTTGGTCAACTGTCGCCTGTAATGTGATTAACAACTGAGTGCATGGTTTTCATTGGCATATTAGTCATACTATTCATATCATTATTATTACTTCATTTGCAATTAATGAAGTACTATCATGACAGGATAAGTACAGTTATGTCACGTGCTTGTGCTATTGTCACCTCAAGGTCAGATGATAAGTGAGAAATCATAAACAAGACACGCTATTAAAGGAAGTCGATTACACTGCACCCTGGGTTTCATCCTACATATCGTTTTTTTAAGTCAGAAGGCGAATCGTGTATATACCTAGAGTTTGTGTAGATTATAATTCGGTTTGGTAATTAACCTATCCTATTCATTTCCGTCTTCTTATTTGTACAATGTATTATACCATAAAAAGTGTATATTGTGATTGAACTGAACCGCAAAACACTTTACACTAATTTCAATATCATTGAATCCGCTAATATCTATTGTTTAGTCTCTTTTAGATGGTTTAAAAGATATTGAGAATAATCAGTGGCGTGATGTCATTCAGTTACAACGTGGTTGGCTTGGTCATTTGAATGGTACTCAAATGGAGTTCAATATTTATTCATCTACTGAACACCATGAAATTAAACCACAGCAATCATTTGTGGATTGTGGACATTTAAAGAATATCGTACCTCAAAATGAACGATTAGTTGTATTTACAAAATATCCAAGTCTAGCAGTTGCTGATTTAATTAGTCATGTAAAAGTTGGACCGGATAGTGTTTATTTTTCAGATATCTATCGAAAGGTATGTCACTCATTTTAGTTGTGTAATCGTAACAATTTATTGATAATAACAGATAATTTTCTCTCCGTTTGTTTACGGAGCCACTGTAAGCGAAAGAAATTAATCTTCCACGTTTAAGAATTGATTAACAAGTGTACATCGTTCATCATACCGTCGTTAAGTTTAAAATCAAAGCATTAATGGAAAATACCAACAATTCCTTGATTTCAACCTATGATAAAATAAATGCGTGATTCCACTCAATGTAGCTAGTTAGCACTTTCCATCACTTTTGACCTGGATTGCCTTAGCAGTGTAACACTTTGTTAGTGACTAGTGTTGGATAAACTGTTGATTTGACTGGTTATTTTCTAACCTGAAAACTGACATCACATGAGACTATTAGAGGGTCGTCCGATGCATATATGTTAACCGGTCTGCTATTAGCTAGTAATGCTGTTATCAGATACAGTAAATCACTCTGCAATTTGGTCTTATAGAAGGCTAGTTGCAGTCTTATAAGTTCAGTGGCAACGAATCAAATAAAGACTCAGATATAAATTCCCGTATATCCATTTTCATGGCCGTATTCCTATTTCTATTAACCATACATAGTTATGATAATTTTATACGATAAACCCTATAGATACCCAGATTTTCCTATTCAAATAGCATGCCATTTAATTCCTGCAGACATAAAAATTTTAATGTTACCAACTACTCATTAATAGTCAAATTTGTCTGGATTTTCAAACAGAACTATCGTTGTCGTATAGGCACTTGTCACCAATAACTGTGCATAGAATTATCCCAATTTTTATGAAAAGAAACAAATCCGTGTTGACAATTTTTGCGACTATGTATAGATATCAACAGATTAACTGTTAAAAATCAGGGAGGATTAAATGGTTGTTTCGTCCTACTTAGTGGATCTTCAACAAAGTGCACTCATAAACGCATAAAAAATTGAGTCTGATAACTAAGTTAAAAACTTACAGTTAGATGTCACATTGTGTCGTTAGTATTTATTTATTTATTTTAACACATAGATATTGGTACAAGGAGGTTCCAAATACATATGCGCCACACAGATTTCATTTGATATGTGTGAGGGCTGTGATACTGCCCGGATGCCCAGACCGAAGCAGTTGGTTTTCTTAGGGGGCCACACCCGGAGCCTTCGACCTAAAGGTCTGATCCACAAGGCAGTGGAGCATCGTGAGGAGATGAGTCCCATGGTAACCAGTAAGCAACGATTGGTTCATACTCCATTTGTTCCTTGAGGATACTGGAGCCAGCCCATGTGCACTATTGATTTGGGATCCGGTTAAAGCGCCGGAAATTCGCTTTTCGTCCTCTCATTTTCGCAGACAACACCCCCGCCACGGAAAGGCAATGAGTAGGACTTCCCTGACAGAGGCTATATACGCGTGGCCATGTGAGAGCATTTCGAGAGAGAGAGAGAGAGAGAGAGAGAGAGCGGATTCTCCCCACTCTCGGCCATACCAGGGCATTTGGATGCTGTGTCGTTAGTACATACGACTAACAAGATTTTCAATCAAGATTAAATTATCATCAATTATGCCTCTATTTTTTAATGGTTCTGTGTTGCTTTTACCTGATGCGTAATAAAACCTATTTTCAAAATGAATACCTAATTAGTATTCGTATTGGTTAGTTTTTAAAGAGAATATGATAATTTGGATTGAATATCCATTTATTAATGTTGAAGTAATGTTAAGTTATTGCTTTATTAATGGGAAATTGTAATAAAATTTGTGACAAATTGATAATTTCAACTTGTCAATAATTTATTTTCCACTCATGGTTGGAAGAATGTTAGGAGTGGTCAAACCATAACGTGGCATCAGTCCTTGAAGTCACTAACTCCTAGTCTTAGCCATGTCAGTAGATGCAGACTATTTGGTTGGGATCCGCGTGATTATCGTAATCAATAGTTAAAGATTGTGGGTGACATTGCTGAGAATCGATCATAATCGATTAGGTGTATGAACTCTCTGTCTTCCCTTAAACTATGAGATTTAAATCGCTTCATATCTTTCTTCTTGTCCTTATATATTACCACCATTGAAGTAACTACTTCTATGAATTTGGTGTATATCTTACTGTGCTATTGTGGTATGGCAACTTGAACCGATGCATATATATGCTTGGTCCTACGTTGTAGCTGATTGACATTAATTATAATGTATTCAGTTAGATAATTAACGTTGATATAGTTGTTTGTATATGTCTCGCTTTGTAATTTGTTATTTATTTATTCATTTACTATTATTATCTCTAGCCTGAGCATAAACGTGGTTCAAACTTTAGTCGAAAGTTAATCTTATACTCAGATTGGAATCATTCATGTCATAATGATAGTAATAACAAATTATCTATTACATCATGTACATCTGTATCACCTTGGCCGGAAATTTTAAACATATTTGTTCGTCATCCATTTACAGGACGTTCTATTCCAATCATTCGTGAAAATATTCCATTATCTAAACTTCCTAGAGCTTATCCAAATGAATTAGGTATGATTATAATTATTATTTTCTTTTTTCTTTTTCAATAGAGTAATTAGTTCATTTTGAAAAGATACATCAACTAAATTTATTTTTATGTACTAATTAGTTGAAATAGATCATGCAACATAATGATTGCCCCCAGAGTAAGGTGGGCCCTCCCTCCCTCTTGAAATGCTCTCACACGGCTACGCGTATATAGCCTCTGTCAGGGAAGTCCTACTCATTGCCTTCCCGTGGCGGGGGTGTTGTTTACGAAAATGAGAGGACGAAAAGCGAATGTCCGGCGCTTTAACCGGATCCCAAATCAATGGTGCACATGGGCTGGCTCCAGTATCCTGCGGGAACAAATGGAGTATGAACCAATCGTTGCTTACTGGTTACCATGTGACTGCATCTCCTCATATACACCACGCAATAATAATGAGAATGGGAAGAGAAAAAAGAAGGTAAGGTGCGCATAAGGAAAAAAAGAAAAAAAGAACAATAACGACCACAGATTAGTGTAAGGTAGTGTAGTAATAATAATAATAGTAATGGGGGGAACAGTAAGGTACAACCAGAAGAATTCTTTCAGTTAAGGAAGATACAACCACTTTTTATGAAGAAAGTAAAAGAAGGTCACAGCAGGATCGTCACTGGCTTCTATTCTGAGCCATATCTGATAACGTCTCTAGCCACTGTGTTGCACCATCTCTTGGACCCCAGCCAGGGAGTCGTGAAGGACCAACAGAAGCTAGCCCTTTGCAGCTTGCTTTCATACCACGACACTATGTCATACACTGACCACCTCTCCGCTTTTTCCAACCAGTCCCACAGTCGGCAAATAATGCACGATGTGGAATTCTCTGGGACGATATTCGTAGAACATGTCCAAGCCACCGAAGTCGGTGTTTCAAGATGGTGACACCGATTGGATTGTCGTCTCTGTACCCGAACACACGATGCCGAACCTCTTCATTACTGACATGGTGTTGCCACTGGATGTCAGAAATCCTTCGGAGACAGCGATGATCAAACACAGAGAGTCGTCTAACATCCTCAACTCGGAGAGGCCAGGTTTCACAAGCATAGAGCAGAACTGCTCTCACCGTCGCTTTGTAGATCCGACCTTTTACAGCCAGACTGACGTCATGAAGGTACCCAAGATGGCTCAGATTTGTATAAACATCCGTGATTTTCATTATACTTGAATTGATCTTATCACTCACGCCACCACATTGAAAGCAATGTGTAAATCATTGATTTATCTTAATTTTATATCGTCAAATTGTTTGATTAATATATATACACATTTCTTCTAATCTAATATCTTCTCACAATCTTTGTTTTCTTCATTATCATTAGTCTTTTCTATAAATGGTCAAACATCTGACTTCTTATCAAAATTATTGGATATACCTTTACCACCAGGAAAATTAAAATCTCCAGGAAAAGATGAATCCAGTGCTGTCATTAATGAAGAAGATTTGAAATGTTGTGTATTATCTACTCCAATCTTTGAAGTATGTAAAACAGAATTCATTCATTCATTTGTTTATTTGTTTATTTATTTGTATGTATGTACTTCAATTTATGTGTATAAAATATCTTGATAGAGTTTTGTTCTCTGAAATGGATGATTTGGTCGTGGAGCTTTCATGATGAGCCTTATCATTTAAAACCTTTAACTACTGATCATGCTTATCATGCAAACTGCAATGAAATAGTTTGCATGTAGTAACATGGTTTAGACTAACAGTCAATTACTTGATGAACTGATGATATGTTTTTGTTTGAACACCTTTATCTGTCCTCGGGCCTACTACCCAATTATATGCTATTACTTCTACTAATCAATGGAACTGAAAATATGTTGTTTTTGTCGACCAGTCTATTGACACTTTTTATTTGGTTGATGTATAATGTTTATCTTGTGCAGCAATGGTCTATTACGTGAATTACTTATATTTTAATCAATACTACTGAATCGAGGTTGTAAACATCACTCCATCTACTTCTGTTTGAGTAAATGAGTATTAACATTAACTAGAGTGAATGAGTAGCTCACTTACCGGGTATAAATTCATGTACTTAGCTCCGAACCACACTCTATGTATGAAGACCAGTGTTATTACCCCGGTTGCTCGATTCAAATTAGATTGGTTGGGATTTTAACCGTGGACCTAGTGGTTAAAAATCGAATGTCCTAAATAGTGAGGTACTGCTCCATCAGAGCGTGTGATCCTATACTTCGTTATACTTTTTCTGAGTTCATCTATTGAGATACTTAACTCACAGTTTGCATATGAATTTGTGTTTGGTGCTTTGGATCTGACCTCAATCAAAATCTCGCGGATAAAATATCACTTATTTAGCTGTTTCAAAATAACTCCATTATTTACATTCATCTATTTATTACTTATTAATTTATTTTTTGTATCCACATACAACACAGAGACAAATCTCATTATTTTTATCATTTATATATATTTCTTGTTTATATATTCAGTAAATTGGTATACTTAGGAAATAATTCCTAATTGTATTTAATTAGTTTCTGTGATATTATGGGATAGATTAAATTCATTGTGTTTTATGTGCTCTGAATCTTCCAAATGCCCTGGTACGGTCGATGGTGGTGAGAGTCAGCTCTTTCGAAGTGCTCAAAGAAGTCCTACTCACTGTCTTCTCGAGATGGAGGTGTTATTTACGAAGTTGAGAGGACGAAAAGCAAATGTCCGGTGCTTTAACCAGGTTTATGAGTTCGGAGGATCCACCTAGGGGAGTCGTTAAACCTTGATTCCAAATCAGTGGTGAACATGGGTTCCAGGATCCTTAGAGAACAAATAGTGTATGAACCTATTGTTGATCACTTGTTATCATGAGACTGCATTTCCTAACGTCATTTTAGTGCCTTATGGATTAGATCTTTAGGTCTAAGGCTTGGGGAGTAGTGTCCTAGGAAAACCACCTGCATCTGTTTGGGCGCATATATATTTGGTGCCTCCTCATTGATTCAAGATCGAATGTTTCAACAAACTCATAAAGAGCTCAGTGGTTCTTCCTAATTCTAATCATTTCAGTCAATACAAACTAATTTCTCATGTGAGAGAAAATATCAATGACCCTTTTTTTCACGCTTAATTTTTCTAAAAGCTTCATGGGAAAACAGTTGGTGAATCTATGGATAAAGCTATGCAAATCTTAAAGGTAAGTTAAGCTAAACCATTTAGTTAATTGTTTTATGAGTGGATTTTTCGGTTCAAAATTGATTTGAATTAAGAATTGTTCTATTGTACAATGTATTGTGTATGGATTTTAATTAGTCATAGATACTACAATAGAATTTAGGATATATGCATAGTATCAGAATGAGTTTTGTGGAGATTTGAATAATTTCAATAGTTGAAATCATGAGTCAATTGAAGCTAGACCACCATGGAAAACCTAGAAGCACTGGACGACCGTTACTTCCTATTGTGGGACTCCTCATCAGTGCGCATCCACGACCCCACCGCTGAGGAGTCCCATACAAGAACGAAACGGCCGTCCAGTGCTTCCTGGTTTTCCATGGTGGTCTAGCTTCAATTGACTCATGATTTCAACTATTGAAATGCATAGTATCCCGAATTTCCCCAATCTATATTGACAAAACAAAATATTGGAGTTAACATGTGATACATTGTAAGGGTTTCACTGTGATAATGAAGATGTAGAAAGGTTTATCAAAGTCAATATTTAGATGAAGATTAAGATTAAATGAAGAAAATCACTGTGAATCGATTTCGGGTCATGCTCATTATGGGTGTTCAACCTCCTCGTCATTTACCCGGGCTTCGGGCCGCCAGTAACTCTAGAAGAGCTACAGGCGGAGTTAAATTGTGATATCCAGCTATAGTAAATCGAAATAATTAAATTCGTTGTTGTCTTTTAATGGGAAGCATCGTCGATAAACAAGGAGGTTCAGATGCAGACGTAAAGGCGAGGATTGACAAAGCAACGGCCGCATTCCTTCAATCAACGAACATATGGAGCTCAAAAAAACTTCCAACCAATGTCAAAGTCAGAATCTTCAATACGAACGTCAAGGCAGTTCTACTGTACGGAGCTGAAACTTGGAGAACTACAACAACCACCATCAAGAAGGTACAAGTATTTATCAATAGCTGTCTACGCATGATACTCAACATCCATTGGCCGGATACCATCAGCAACAGCCTTCTGTGGGAGAGAACCAACCAGCTTCCAGCTGAAGAGGAAATTAGGAAAAGACTATGGAAATGGATAGGACATTGAGGAAATCATCAAACTGCATTACGAGACAAGCTCTAACTTGGAATCCTGAAGGGAAGTGGAAAAGCGGAAGGCAAAGAACACATTACGTGAAATAGAAGCGGATATGAAAGAGATGAATAAGAACTGGAAAGAGCTGGAAAGGATTGCCCAGGACACTGTTAGATGGAGAATGCTGGTGAACGGCCTATACTCCTTCGCGAGGAGTAACAGGTGTAAGTAAGTTAGTTGTCTTTTAATAGCATGTATATGACAGAGTGACTTAGAAAATTATAGATACTGATCATATTAAAGGCACATAGTTCTATTTAATCATCGAAGATATTTAGTTCAACAAAATTTCTGTTATAATCATAAATTTCTGAACAAATATGACTGGCTTCAAGGGATATATCCTTGAGTTCTAGTGGGAAGCAGTGACCAGTGGAGTTCAACCGGGTCAGTTGTGAGATAGTAACTCACTGATGATAATGGTGAATGTGTCGCTCATTTTCGTTTATTAGTTGAAGTTAGACATTAAAACCGTTGGATGTCGGTCGGCTCAGTGGTCTAGTGGTTACGTGCTCACGCGCGAGACCAGTAGGTCCTGGGTTCGAACCTTGCAGGGGTCGAGGTCGTGGATGCTCACTGCTGAGGAGTTCTACAATAGGACGAAACGGCCGCCCAGTGCTTCCAGGTTTTCCACGGTGGTTTAACTTCAACTGACTCATGATCTTAACCATTGAAATTACTATAACATCCACAAAACCCTTCAGATATGACATACTTATAGAACATTACGTTATGTAAACAATAGTATAGTAAGATTTAGGAATCTTTCTAGGCAAATATCAATTTTAGATCAAAGTATTAGTTCTATGATTGTCATATTTTACGATTAACTGTTCACTATCCAATAATCAATATTGTATTTGTCTAGTTCTTTTAAAGGTTATTCAATCTCATCGGTTATATTACACTACAGTAGAAAGGATATCATTTCACTTATGATTGTAGTTACACATTATTGATAAGTAGCAACTATTGTGAATCCTAGCTTCAAGATTCTATGCTTAATATCTCTAAAACACTTCACTTTCAATGAATAGTTCATAGATTCAAACTTTATTTCAGTCACTTGGGTTTATACAATCATTACACCGATAATATTGGTTCAAAGCCAATTACATAATAGAATAATTTGTTGAATAGTATTTTCTGAACTGTTTTTTCTTTTGGTTTGTAAGCTTTTACACTTATAATTATGTATTCACTATGATTCTAATTCTTTATTTGATGTTCTACTATGTTGTCCTTCCTGTTTTTTTTCTTTTTTTTTGCTTCTTGCTATCTTCTATCCTTTTTCATTCCTTTGTTTTTTCTCATTCTCTCTGATTACTCTCCCTATTCCATATTTCTTGCCTATTTATTCTTTCTATGATGATTGTTGTTGTGTTGTTTTCCGTATGTCCAGGGATTGATATTTATTGATTGTAATTGATTAGTATCGATCAATTGATTCCTTATTTATTGTTTTGATAATAACGGTTATTAAAGAATAACTATTTATATTAGTTGCTAATGCGGTATGGCAACTTGGATCGATGCATATATGTGCCTGATCCTACGTTGACTAACTGACTGACTGAGTTGTTTGAGTTGACTGGTACAATGAATTGACTTGTTATTTGATAAGAATGAGTTTATATAATACAATAATAATGATTATACTTTAATTCATTTGGTTAAATTCCATTATGATTCCAAATCAATTAGGATTGAGAAAAAGCACTTCAAAGTCATGGCTCATCTCTCAAAATATAGGATGTTTACTATCCATCATACAATGATTCATTTTAGTTAGAAACTCATTGTTAAATACTTGCATGATGTTAAATTGTTTCGAAAGACACTTATTTGTGAATGAGGAAATGAATGTAGATATAAATAAGATGAAGGGATATTTATTTATATCGTTTAACACGACTAAAGCCTTTAAACAACTTACAAATTTTATGAATAATGAAAAAAACCATGTATCTGTGAATTCTTTTAATTTTTTATCGTAAATCATTCGTTTATATATAAACGTGAAAGAACTGGATGGCCGTTTCGTCCTATTGTTCGACTCCTCAACAGTTCGCGTCCACAATCCCGCTCTCGGGATTCTAACCTAAGGCCTTCGGTCTCGCGCTCGAACGTTTAACCTCTAGATCACTGAGTCGGCATCCAACGGTGTTATTATCTAACGTAAACCAATCCACGACTTAGTGGTTTAGAGGTTAAGTGTTAGTGCGCGAAACCGATAGGTCTTGGGTTCGAGTCTCTCGAGGCCGGATCGTTGATGCACACTGCTCAGGAGTCCTATAATAGGAAGGAATGGCCGTTCGATGCTTCCAAGTTTTCAATGGTGGTCTAGCATCTATCGGTTCATGATCTAAATCAAAAACTTAATAATCTTCACAACCCTATACTGGTAATTCTGTTTATCTCACTAGTCGATATGAGGAATATATGATAAATAATTTGAGTAATTCATTTATATTATGTTACTAACTCATCACAGGGTAAATAAAAATGTAAGCGAATAAGTATGGATATTTAATTTGATTTGCATTAAGTAATCCATAAGTCTCTTGATGCTTTAAGGGTACTGATTAATGATTATAACACTGAACTTTCAACTACTAATTTATCAGTTGAAGCTAGACCACTATAGAAAACCTGGAAGTACTGGACGGCCGTTTCGTTCTATTGTGGGACTCCTCAGCAGTGAGCATCCACGACCTCGCCCCCCTACGAGATTCGAACCAATGAAATTACTATAATATCCACAAAAACCCTTCTCTGATTATTAATTTGTCGATTAAAGCCCTAATTTCAATATTTCAGTTTAGTCAACCAATTATGAATACTTGTCATAGATAGACGGTAGGTAATAAATTATAAATGAGTGTTATTTAGGAAGACGATGGAGTTCTCACTCAATGTTTTTATCTATATATGCTTGTCTGGGTCAAAAGGATAATTTTTTTTAACCTATAACTTGTGTAGACTATAATCAATCAAATGTTTTTTTTCTCATCACAATCTTTTCATTGGAATAATAGGTTTCGATATACTGTAGGAAGTGTACATTGTAACTAGTCACATATTCTTGATCTGATTTGTGTGTTGAAGTTTCTGTAGAATCGACACTGGAAGGAGTATCTAGTGTAGTTACTCGTCGATGGTAAATTTTAGTCCCATTCATGTAGACGTGGAAATCCGAGTGTTATACTTACTTACTTACTTACTCCTGTTACTCCCAATGGAGCATAGGCCACTGATCAGCATTCTCCAACCCACTCTGTCCTGGACCTTCCTTTACAGTTCTATCCAATTTTTGTTCATTTTTCTCATGTCTGTCTGCATTTCTCGGTGTAATGTGTTCTTTGGTCTTCCTCTTCCCTTTCGGCCTTGAGGATTCCTAATGATGTAGGCTTTCCTTGAGACGCATTTGTGTGCTTTCCTCAATATGTGTCCTATCCACTTCCAGCACTTCTTCCTGATTTACTCCTCCGCTGGAATCTGGTTTGTTCTCTCCTACAGTACGTTGTTGCTAATAGTATCCGGTCAACGGATCCGAAGTATTTTGCGTAGATAACTGTTAATAAACACTTGTATCTTCTGGATGATGGCTTTAATAGTTCTCCAGGTTTCCGCCTCATACAGTAGAACTCTCTTAATATTTGTATTGAAAATTCTGACTTTGATGTTGGTTGACAGACAGTTGTTTTGAGTTCCAGATGTTCTTCAGTTGTAAATATTCTGCTGTTGCTTTGCCGATCCGTGCCTTCACATCTGTATCAGACCCACCGCGTTCATCGATGATGCTGCCCAAATATGTAAAGGTTTGTACATGTTCCAAATCTTTTCCGTTAATTATGATTGTATTCCTGCATGTTGTGTTGAATCGGAGAATCTTGCTTTTCCATTTGTGTATATTAAGACCTACTACTACTGAGGCTGCTGCTACACTGGTCATCTTCTCCTGCATTTGTTTTTGCGTTTGCGATAGAAGAGCCAGATCATCCAACTTCATTCTAGATGTTCACTGTATCCCATGCTTCTCCCTCAGATGTTGACATCTTCATGATCCAGTCGATCACCAAGAGAAAGAGTATAAAATTAACTCATCGAAGAATACAACGTTTTGATATATTTTAATATAAATTCATATTTGATTCTTGTTATCTGTAATTAATAAAAAAAATTCTCACTACTAATTCTTTTGTTAGGTTAGTGGACGTGGTGGTTATCGATGTAATGATATGCGTACTGATTGGTTAATCTCTAGACAACGTTATTGGGGCACTCCTATACCAATTATACATTGTGATTCATGTGGGGTAAGGTATATATGTATGTATTATTTATGAGATAATTTTCTTTTATCTGTTTCAGGTAGTTCATCATTACAATAAAATTAAACTGAAATGTTTAAATTTAGATAGATGAAGATGTTTGTTATTAATGGGTTCATATAGATTGATAGAAGTAGTTGAGAGCAAAAAACTGAACTATAATGTGAATGGTTTTATTGACTTGAATGTTTAACAGTAAGGGATTAAAAATGTCTGTTAGAGTTCAGTCATTCACTGCTAATTAGGAGATGCTTTGTGTATTTGACAGTTTAATCCATTCAATCAATCAGTTGTATAGTAGAACTTAGTATGTGTATACATCGGTTCAAGTTACCATACCACATTAGAACAGACACATGAAATTGACAAAACAAATCCTAGAATATTAGACGTAGTAACTGCATCAATGGTAATACAAAAAAATTAGGTATCAAAGATACGATTCAAGAAAATATAAATTAGTGAAATAGGAATACAAAAAGTGTTATGAGGAAGTTAGAAGTTCAGAGTCTGGGGGGAAGACAGAGAATGAATCCACATGTGTGATTTCAATCGATTTTGAGTCATTTCTCTAAACATCAGTTACGGTAATCATGCGGACTCTAATCAGGTAGTCCACACCTATTAATATGGCTCATTCCAATGGTCAATATTTTCATGGACTGATGTCATGTATTGGTTTGTCGTGTCCTAATTTTCTCCCAGGCTATTCCTAAACCAGACAGCATCGCCGGTTGAGGTAGACAGTGGTGGTGGTTGGATGTGCGTAATACATGTTCCAACCAACTTAGTTGATGAAGATTCACTCTTTCACGAGTCGCTTTATCATATTTACCTAGTACTCTATTCCAAACCCAAACACTGCTTAATCAGTGATCCCAAAACAAATGAGCAAAGTTTCGAAGACACCTATAGTCGACTCCTAATAAATTACGAATATTCTCTATTTTTGACGACCAGGTTTTACACCCATAAATTAAAACAGCGAACTGCTGAGTAGTAAACTAGTCCTTTGGTTGGAAGACGAACGTTTCACCTACACAACAAGTGACGCAAGTCGGCAAAGCTAACCGAGCCTTTTGAATCCGTGCCGAGATTTCGTCAGACAGCAGTCCACCAGGACTGATGTGACTCCCAAGACTAATGAAGCGGTCGATATGTCCAACTATTTCACTCTATATCATTAATTCAGGGAGTTTGATTTGAATCTTTGAAACTTTACCATCAGTAACAAAACTCTGTAAATTAAGGAAATGTCCTGTCCTTTCGCAACTTTAAAACGCTGTATGTGAAGCTTATATAGTGTTCCTAATCAATGATTAGAGACTTTAATGATATGATTAGTTCCCTTCTCTATATTCCATTAGATTTTCCGCTAAGTATCATTTCCAATTTTCTATCATTCGATCTCATTTATTGTTTCTCGACTGTATTTCTCATGTTTAATCTTCCATTGCTTTTGATATTATTATTCTTCATCTTATGATTTTTATCTTATCGATTTCCTGACGATTTGCTGATGTAAGGTGTGATAACTTAGACGGATATACACTGATATCATGTTGTAAGTTGATGACAATTGACCATCTAAACTGTTGGCTATATTCGACATGTAAGCTTTATAATAAACGCTGATTAAGTATAATACACAATGATTCAACTGGACTGAATGCAATTATTAGTTGAAAGTAGCGTGTAGAAGGCGGGGGAACATTTGCTCAAGTAACTACTACACCCTATCAGAACAACCAGATGAGATTAACAAGGTAAATAATAGCAATAGTTGTAGTTTTGATGTTGGCAAAAATGATTCATGACAGAAAATATGGTTCGAGGGGACAAGATTAAATGACTCAATAGAAAGTATGAAATAATATGGAAATTCAAATTTTCGTAGAAGACGTAGAATGGATTTAATTACATCACTACATCAGACTTTAAACCATGTCATTCAATGTTTCCAACCAGTTAATCTGCAGTAATCGAAATGGCTCAAACCAGCAGTGAATATTTTATACACTTGGTTTGATAAATTTTTTGCAATCTACTTCTATACCAGCTAACACTACGTCGTGGTAAGCAATCGGTAGATATGTATGTAGCTGGATAGTATATGTTATCTTCCATGTGATAACTGAAATATATTGGTCCTATATATGTAATTAAAAATCTTTTACAAATTCTCTTATTCAATGATTTAATATTTTTTAAATATATATAGGCAGTACCAGTACCAGAAGATCAACTCCCTGTACTTCTACCTCCACTAGAAAATTCATTGAAACGAGGTGATGAACCTTTAAAGCATAATGAATCCTGGCGTAAAACAACTTGTCCTAAGTAAGGAAGCTGTTATCTTGAGTCTTTTTTTTGCTAATCTCCATTTCTAAATATAGTACTCATCATGCAATCGACTTCAATAGAAGAACTATTGTAATGTCGGAATTAATGAGCCTATTTTTCATCTTGGTTCGAGATCCCTCAACAGCATAAAATCAGTATCTCGTCAAGAATTCAATATGGTCTAGGATGAGAACGATCTCAAATTAAATTAGTCTCCATAACTAATTACATAAATAGTTTTCATCATAATAATATTTATTGTGTGGTTATTGCTCTCACATTTGTTTATCACCGTATATGTAGATAGATAGATTAGATTGAGATCATGAGTCGATCAGTATTAAACCACCATTGAAAATTTGGAAGCGCATTTTCGTGGATTGGTTGAAGTTAGTCATTAATACCGTTTGATGCCGGCTCAGTAATCTAGAGGTGTTTAGTGTTCGCGTGCGAAACCGAAGGCCCTGGGTCCGAATCCCACGCGCGTTACCGTGGATGCATACTGCTGAGGAGTCCCATACTGGGACGAAACGACCGTCTTTAAATACAGGGTTGTCACTGGTTCTTATTGCAAGTCACGTTTGATAAATTTTCTAACCACTGAGTTGCATAATTTTTGGCATTTAACCCATACAGTTACGATAGATCAATGTATGTCAGTTATGTAACTGTCTTACATTCCTGGGGAAAGTTTCATCAACTAACCTGTTAACTTTTTTCTTTCAGTTATAGCCTCAAGAACTTATGTGATATATGAAAGCCGCTGAAATGATATGTTTAAAATATAAAATTTTTTATGTAGGTATCATATCAGGTATATTTCAATACATAAAGCTGAACTTCGACAGTACTTACATGATGTTACCATCATATATGAGCAATATTTCCAAGACAATGTTGATTATGTTATAGAAATGTAACGAACATTCTCAGACTATGGAGGCCACGTTTCAGATGTGATAAGTCTTGCAATTTGGACGCTATACTCGGTTCCTAAGCTATTCTTGTGCCCCACAAGCTAGAACTATAAAGCGACCTGAACACGAGAGAGAAGGCGCAAAGTATGCGAGAAGTATTTTACTCCAAAAGTTCATTTTAATACAGAAAATATAGGGTTTTTATAATATTTTATATGTCCTTGGATTGCTCGAAGATTCTGGAATGCTACTAAACATAGTAGCAGTATGAGTAATCAGTCAATCAGAACCTCTACATGTGACGTTTCACTTGCTTGATGTTTCTGGCTAAAACTTCAAGCGAATGCTGATAGGATGAAATCCTTCTTAGTGTTTCTTGATCCTTGCTTGTCTTTTGTGAGAAGTTTTCTGGACCACCCCAACAGATGTAGATTAGAACTACTCACAACTGGTCGTTGTAAAACCTACCTTTTACAGAGAGATTAACATCACGACGGTGAGGAAAATGACTCAGTCTCTCAGAAACAATTTACATTTGTAAGGTTCAAAATGCATTCCGTACTTACGAACATTAATTACCAACTATTAAAGTGTGTTTTTACTTGGAAACCCATTTTAAAACTAGTAACTAATGTACGATAAATATATATATGCACCAATCTATGCGGTTTAATTGTTTTTTAAAATTTTAGATGTGGTAGTCCAGCGAACCGTGAAACTGATACACTAGATACATTTGTTGATTCATCATGGTATTATTTACGATATTTAGACCCAAAAAATAATTCGTCGATTTGTGATAGGAGTAAAGTAGCTAATAGTCTACCTGTTGACGTTTACATTGGAGGTATGGAGCATGGTAAGTTATTGTTATCGTTTAGTGAAAGTAATTTATTGAAGTTGCATAGATCCTAATTGTTGAGTGGTTAACGTTAGTCGGTAGAAAACCCCAGGTGACCCAGGTTTCGTGCTAGTTGGTAATTGTTAGCAAGGAGGACCTATAATTTTGAGGGGAATGATGCTTCTTGCCGAATTCAAACCATTCATCTTGACAGTCTGTGATGTTATTGCTGTGGTATTTGGGCAGCGACTGACTGATAGGCTACATCAGTCAGATATGTCATTTCAAGGCTAAACAATAAGTAGGAAATGCTAAAGGGAGCACGCTATTGGTCAGGATTCAGCTGAACTTCTTGAGGAGGCAGATATTTACTATTTGTTGAAAATCCGGCCTAATTTTCTGAGTGTGAGCATGTATTTCAACTCAGGATATCCGATAAGAGATTTTTACTCATGTTTGATTTTCTCACTCAAGTAGCTGATTGGGCTCGCATATGGGAAGTGTTTATATGAATATGACAACGCCTAACACAACCCTGACCTGTAAAACTAAGATGCTTTCAATTGATCGATCACTGTGTAATGACCAGTGTTACACCTTCAAGATAGTAGAGAATGTAAAAGGTCATATTTTTTCGACCTAATAGAAATCTGTTTACTTAGCTGAACACGTATTTACAAATATTGCAGCATATTTAAGCATCTCTAAATCATCCATCTAAGAAAAGCACCGACTGTATTTTAAACTATCGACAATGATTTATTTATTTTATTTTAACACATATATATTGGTACAAAGGGGTAACAGACACATATGCGCCACACAGATCTCATTTGATATGTGTGAGTGCTGTGATACTGCCCGGGTGCCGAAACCGTAGCAGGGGGCCACACCCCGAGCTTTCGACCTGAACGTCTGATCCACAAGTCAGTGGAGCATCGTAAGGAGATGCAGTCCCATGGTAGCCAGCCGGTGACCAACGATTGGTTCATACACCATTTGTTCCTTGAGGATACTGGAGCCAGCCCATGTGCACCGGTTAAAGCGCCAAATATTCGCTTTTCGTCTTCTCATCTTCTTAAAAAAAACACTCCCGCTACGAGAAGGCAATGAGTAGGACTTCCCTGACAGAGGCTATATACGCGTGACCGTATGAGAGCATTTGAGAGGAAGAGCAGACTCTCCCCACTCTCGGCCATACGAGGGCATTTGGGGGGCATCGACAATGATATGATTTCAACTTAATATAATTGATAGAAAAGTATTGTGTTTTTATCTGAAAAGTTGAAAATACTAAATTTACTACTATACAATACGTTGTAAATGCACATTCTATTGAGGATACATTTCATGGTAATGGGAAATATTATCAATTACTATTAGATTTTTAACAGTTCTTAAGTGTATGTCAATTTTTGTTGTTGTTGTCGTTGTTATTGTTGTTGTTGTTGCTGCTGCTGCTGCAAGAAATCAACATTTCAGTCTTGAAAAAACATTCAAACATTTCACACTTCTCTTTATTTTCTGCTTTTTCTATATTTAGCTGTTCGTCATCTATACTATGCTCGTTTTATTGCACATTTCCTTCATGATATAAATGTACTACCCTGTAGAGAACCATTTAAACGTTTTCTTCCTGTTGGTTTAGTATTGGGTCAAACGTATATTAATCCAAAGTCTGGTCGTTTTATACCAACACAATGTGTTGATAAAAGATATTTATCTGAAAAAGAAAGTGGGTTTATGTTCGCTCTCTCTTTTTGTTTATATGTATATTGCTTGTTGTTTTTGTTGTGTAAATGAAGCTTCTGGAACAATGCTGAGCATATAAAGTTATGTTTAAGATGGTTATATCGAAGCATTTTTTGCAGGATATATTTTAACAAGTATATCATAAACGGGATAATTCAAGCCCTTACTAACCACGTATTTATTTATTTATTTTAACACATAGATATTGGTACATCAGGGCACCAAATACAAATGCGGCACACAGATCTCATTTGATATGTGTGAGGGCTGTGATACTGCCCGGGTGCCCAAATCGAAACAGGTGGTTTTCTAAGGGGAGCACACCCCGAGCCTTTGACCTGAAGATCTAATCCACAAGTCAGTGGAGCATCGTAAGGAGATGCAGTGCCATGGTAGCCGGTGACTAACGATTGGTTCATACGCCATTTGTTCCTTGAGGATACTGGAGCCAGCCCATGTGCACCATTGGTTTGGAATGAGGGTTTTCCAACTCCCTAGGTGAACACTTCATGTCCACCAACCCGGTTAAAGCGCTAGATATTCGCTTTTCATCCTCTTAATTTCGTAAACAACAGTAATGCCACGAGAAGGCAGTGACTAGGACTTCCCTGGCAGAAGCTAAGTACGCGTGACCATGTGAGAGTATTTCGAGAGGCAGAGCGAACTTTCCTCACTCTCGGCCGTACCAGGGCATTTGGGGTCACTAACCGCGTACCCGTTGAATAATTTCGTAGCAATATGGCCTTAGTAGCTCCGTGGATAATACATTGATGTTCGAAGAGACAAATACTGAGTTTGAGCCCAAATGTGAGGATGAACCCAGGGATTCAGTTATATCCGACTGATGAGTCCCACATAAAATGAAACGTTCGTCCTGTACTATTCCGTCAGTCACAGATCATCTCTTCTAACTTACGGGTATTATTTTTGTCAAAAGATCATCTTCAATTAATATCGGCCAATGAACATCATTGAGACCTTAATATCGTACTGAAGAACTGTTGTTTTGTCTGAGTTTAAGACAGAAACTTTTTCAAATTTGATTAATCTCCTTGCGTAATCATACAATTATAACCATGGTCAAATTGGACATTATCTTTTAGTGGAGGGAAATGTAACTGAAAGTACATGGTCTACTTTTATATATAAGTAGTTTGTATTATTTCTAATTAGTATGATGGATTTTTGCACGCATAATGATTAAGTTAACTATTCATGTCGTGTGTAATGATATGTATGAGGTTTCATACCGTCGTACATAGTTATCGACTTAAATCGCGTTAATGAATAACGGAGTAATTCAAATACGAGAATACGATTTTGAATACGTATATGTCGACACTCCTTGATCCAGAAATTCATTCAGAATGATAAGCAAGAAATCAAGGCGAGTTGGAACAGAGAAGGCAAGTGATCCAACTCAATTTGATCAAATATGACCCCATATTTGTATTTAGACAAAAATAAGCTAACGATATGTAATGAGTGTTATCAAGTGAATAATCAGCTATGTCAACATGTAGCTTGAGACAAATGAATAAGTCGGTTTGTCCTGAACTAGAATAACCCATGTAGGCTTGGCATAGTACTAGACACTACAATATAACCAGACCAACTTAGTAAAATGATTACTATTTACGATGTAAAGGTATTTTAGTAGTTATAGTTTAATTCACTATTAATTTTAACCATAGATTAACTTCAGTTAATTGTTCATCAGACTATATTACCAATCAATTGAAGTTAGAAGTGTAAACCATTGAATACCAGACCAATGTTTCAATAATTAGACGCTCGTCGCATTACCTCAGGATTCAGGATTCCATCTTTGATAGATTCACGGGAAGAGTTTCATTGTAGAACAAAATAGCTGTTCAATATTTCCTAGTTTATAGTTTTACCTCAACGGAGGTCAGTTTGTGATAAATACCACTTATATATTATTAGTTCTATCAAGGAATAAAACAGAACAACCTTTAAGTGTAAGCAAAGAAAATTGTGTTATAAAATATTAACTACTTATAAGCATTATAGTAGTTTGACTTTCGCACATTTTTAGAACTATTCAATTTATGGACAGATTATGTATCTTTATAGAATGTTTAAACGATTGGATTGTGACTACAATCCATTTAGTAAGTGAAATGCTTTTAAAGCCGTCTACATAAACAATAGGTAATTGACAATTCATTACCAATTATTAATCTGTCATAATTACAGAACTGTAAACGAATTAATTACTAATGAGCATTTTATAACCATGTCTTACGTTTCTGACATAGTATTACCTTTACGTCCTTGATCCATCTGCTCTCTAATATACCGAAGAGAGTTGTGTCGTTCTAGTTTAAAGCCTTGATGCGATAAGTTATTTAATCCAATCATAGGGCTAGGAAATGTATGAATACATTTATGACTAGAACGACCTTGAGGGAAGAGAAAAGAAAACTAACCTATCACTGACCTGTGACCTAATATGTTGGCGAGTGAAGAGACGAGACAAATTATCTAGAACTTAATTCAATGGCAATCTCATTTGGTGTCCGGCGTGACTGTTCACTATCCCCATTTTTGTTCAATTTCATCATAGACACCTACTGCTGAAAATAATGTATTCATCGACTGAATTTTAAGGAATTGTTCTCCTTTCCAGAGCGTCTACTTATTGACTTAGAATACGCAGATGACATTGTCCTGTTTGGTGAAGACGCTGATAAAATGCAGTCTTTTGGTAGCAATGAGCAACAATGCCAGGATTTTTCGGATGCGTTTCTCCCGCTGTAAATGCAAGTTGTTTTTCCAGGACTGGCCTGCGTCAACACCTGAACTAAGGATAGGAAGTGAAGTACTCGAACACGTTGACAACTTCACTTATCTTGGAAGTTTGATCAGCCCTAATGGGTTGGTGTCTGACGAAATCTCAGCACGGTTTTGAAAAGCTCGTTTGGTTTTCGCCAACTTACGTCATCTATGGCGAAGGCAAAATATCCGTCTATCAAATAAGGGACAAGTGTGCTGCGCGGCAATTCTTTCTGTTCTTCTTTACGGCTGCGAAACGTGGCCACCAAGAGTAGAAGATATTCGTAAGCTACTAGTATTTCACCACAAATGCCTTAGAACTGTTGCTCGCATCTGCTGGGATCACCAGGTAAGTAATAGTGAGGTTAGACGCAGAGTATTAGGGAATGATAGTAAATCAGTTGATGAGGTTATGAATCTTCATCGACTGAGATGGTTGGGTTACGTGTTACATATATCTGAACATGAAACTCCGTTGTTCTTCATCATTGATTTTTAATTTCTCTCTTCACATCAGTTACTCAAACGATAACCGTTTACCATATCTGATGTAGGTAGTGAACCTGTAACCTTCTAGTTAGAGATCAAATATTTCAATCCATAAAATCATTTATCTATATCTAAGTGTTTTATATTAAACAATTTCGTTTCGATGGTAATAAATTCCACTGATTACGAATTAGGTTTGTCTATCAAATTTATTTCATATTCCCTCTTTTCTCTTCTTCTTCTTCTTCATCTAATCTTTTTTTTCCTATTAAAAAGTTGAATATTATGAAATTGATACTAATGAACCAGTTCAAATGTATTGGGATAAAATGAGCAAATCCAAATTGAATGGAATTGATCCAACTGATGTTGTTGAAAAATATGGTATGGATACAATAAGAATTACAATGTTAACAAATGTTGGACCACATCGATCAAGAAAATGGGCTGAATATGGCGGTAAGTATATTGATAATTCTGTTATTGAATCAATTTAGAAAGATATCATTAGTCCTTTTTTTTTCTTATAAGAAAAAAAAATCCTGAATTTTGGGATAATGAAGAAGATTCTTAACTTAAGAGAATGATATTGATGGAGTTGAGTTCTCGACGAGATTCTAAATTATGGACGAGCCAATCAAAAGCGTTTTAGAGATTCCAATGTCACATTGCCAAATTCACAGCTTAATGCTAATGTACGATCAGCTTACAGGGGATTTTGTACAAAACGTGATGATTTAGCGGCTATAACAAATAAAACGGCTAAACTATAATTTGTGGACGAATCAATCAGGTGTAAGATAACAGATCTTGGATTTTAACGCGAAAGCCTTTCATAGATTTGGCTAAATAGAGTTTTGGCATTATAGCTGATGTCAGTTCGTGATGAAAACCCCACATATATAACTCCTAACTAAGTCAAATTATGACAATTACTGCGAACTGGATAATAAAAGCACCAGTAACACTGGCTGCAGCCAGGTACTACAATATATACGGATGTTTGGGGAGCGTACAGATGCCTACATAGACTTGGTTATGTGCATGGTGTCGTTATTCACAAGTGGTATTTTGGTGCACCCAACAACCGGAGTACACATGAATAATATTAGAACTATGTGGTCGGGGCTGAAAGAGTTTCTGAGATTTCATCATGTCTCTAGAGGCGTACTATTCTGTAGCCGTATGGATGATTTCCTCTACTGTATGCATTACGATTTTAGAACCTCTGAACCTCTTTCTAACCTTGACAAGTTTTTGAACCATGTATAGGAAGTGTATCCACTTTCATTCTTTGGTTTTATATAATATATTTTTACTCTTTACTGACTATTTACTGATTGGTTAATATTTCTCAAGTTCACTTAAGATTCGTTCAAAGGTCATCCATAAATTAGAGTCTTGCCGAGTTCTCTAAGCTTGCAGGTTTCACTGGTTTTTTTCTAAACGATGTCGTTATTAATACGAGCTTCAGATGATAGTAAGTGGACTTGAAATCTTCATCAAAGACAGCACTCAAGTCAATCGGGCATCAATAAAGATGTTAAAATGTGTCCACTTTATATACTAGTTAAGAAAATTCTAAAAAAAAACTGTAAGGCTCTGAATCAGTTCAAGATGAGAGTTAATCAAAAGAATCGTGTAAGCAAATGACAAGAAAAGTATTGCACACAATCAACCAAACTGAATATTTGACTAAACATGCTGTTAGTCATTTGTACATAAATTTAAATAACTCACTTCTATCTAAAGTTTGTGCTAATAATGTTTCCCTGAAAGACAATAAATATTTCATATTTAACCTACTCAACTCCACAACCCCAATACTGATAATCAACATGTGCTCACTAGTGACTAGCTTCGTGAGGGAATTCTCGGAATTCTAGTGAGAAACCGTGACCAGTGGAGCTAATCCGTGTCGGGTAGAGACAGGTAACTACCTCGCGCAATTTCATGGAATAAAGCTTTGCAAAAGATAATACTATGAGATTGTGATGTAATTCTTTGAGTGTAATATTTCACTTGATTTTATAACACAAGTTGTTGTATTATTCTCCAAACAATATTCTATAATTTATATTCTTACTATTGTTAGAAAACATTCTTAAACAAACAAACTCGTTCCAAAGTTGTTAAAACTTGTGACCGCCGATTAGAGAGCAGTGACTTATCGATCGAATCAATGACGCGTAAACCATGTGCGAGCAACCTAGAGTCCTGATTGGTCTTGCTTCCTGTCTAGCCCAGTCAGTTACGTCCAGAACACCAATTCAAGCCTCTGTGATATGAATCATGTATTTCAAACATACCCGGTTTATCTACCAACCAGACAGACCACATCGTACCAATATAATAGAAAATAACATTTATACAATATTTGGCCAAATGTAGCTGTCAATGTGGGAGGCATTGACTAATAGACAGGGCATAATTCAAGAATGGTAAAACGTATAATAACACTTCATAGGTTAAAATAAAGCTTGTGATAAGAGGGACATGAATATGAATAGTTCTACTTAACGGGAATCAGCTATAGAAGTTGGTTAGCTGGCCATTCCATGATTGTTTTCTAAAGACCGATCTTTTTAAAGAACCATTACTCCTTCTCATCAGACGTACATCGAATGGCCAGCTAACCAAATTCTATACCTGGGTCCCGTTAAGTAGAAAGAGAAACCTCATCTATTCTTTATGTTATCGAATACCCCAGATATGCAGTACGGAATGCATTAACGAAGAACTCTCATTCCTCAACAAAACCTTGACGAAAAATGGTTACCCAGTACGGTTCATAGAAAAGAATATAAATAAAAGTAGTAACGACAAAAAATCTAGTTGCTCCGTACCGAAGAAAAACCTTTATATAAGTCTGGAATTTAAAGGTGATCGAACATCAGACGTAATCAAAAATTGTCTAACAACAACGATTAGAAGAACATTTAATGCGGCTGAACTGCGAATAACTTTCACTAATAGGAACTTATTTTCTGTATCCATAAGATATCTTTAACCGTTTTAATATAGATTTAAAGTTGTATGTAATACTAAACGTTTATTGATGTTTTTCATTGTCTTTTGAAATTACTTGTTCATACTTTCTTTACATTAGTGTAGAGAAATGTTTCGTCCCTGTAATATAATCATATATATCCTCAGCCTTAATCACCAGGAGTCATACATAGTACATTCTAATCTTACAATGATTTATTCTCTTTATATTGTTTTTATTTTTATGTAGGAGTGTTGTGATTTTATTTACTTTTTTTTGTTGTTGTAAATTTTGTTCATTTCAGTACTTCAAGGTGTTAATAATTGGTTACATAAAATGAATCGTCTCGTTGAACAACTTATTGAATATTCTAAAACTTTACAAAATTCTAATGTATCATGGGAATTAAAATGTGATATGGATGATCCATTATTAATTTATCCATCATATTCATTAAAATATCATCAATCCATTATAAAGCGGGTAAATTCTATCAAATGTTCTAATAATACTACTATTTCTTTGTAAGTAGTCAGTTTTTATTCTTATAAAAAACTATATGTATATCAGTCAGTCAGTCAGTCAGTCAGCTGCAACGTAGGACCAGGCACATATATGCATCGGTCCAAGTTGTCATACCGCATTAGCACACAATAAGATGAACACCGGATTCATAGAAGTAGTTAATTCAATGGTGGTAATATATAAACGACAGATTGCATATAACGAGATAGTGCGAGAAGAAAGAATTAGTTCGTAGAAAGAAAGATATGAAGCGATTTTAATCTCTTAGTTTAAAGGAAGACAAAGAGTGTATACACCTACGCCATTATGATCGATTCTGAGCCACGTCACCAAGAGTCTCCAACCATTGGTTACGATAGTCACGCGGATCCCAACCAGTTAGTCTGCATCTACCAACATGGCTCAGACCAGAAGTTAGTGACTTCAAGCACTGATGCGATGTCAGGTGGTATAACTCAAACTTATTCATTATCACTTGAATATGCTCATCCTTTATCTTTCTCATAACCAATCATTCTACTATACCTTTATACTATATTTGGTTTTCATTTGTTCTTTTTTGGTTTGTTGATTTGCTTGTTTTTCAAATCTTATTCATACTACTTAGTCTTTACAATGATCTATCATTAATATATGATTATCATCTCTTTTACTATTCATCTGTTCTTAATGACATCTAATTGTGTTAATCGGATATAGAAAATGTAGTTTCTTAGCTTTGCTAGGAAGAGATCAGTTAAAAATGGAGGAGGTATAGATCTGATGAGTAAAATGGATTACATCGAATAAATGGAAGCAACGCTTAGTGATGCTAGAAAATTTCAAAAAAGTAACTAGTAATTATGACTTCAATAATAAAATAGAAAAACAATTGGCTAATTCCCTTAAAGATCTAAAGAAAAAAGGAATAATCATGACAGAGTTTCATGATTCAATTAAGCCGATTGTATCAAATACACCACGATTGTACGGTCTGCCTAAAGTTTATAAATCAGGTCTTCCTCTACGCCCAGTTCTAGTGAGTAGAAAAACTCAACAATGTACACCCGGCGATCAGTTTCACTGATGAAAGACAGTATGACAAAAAACTGAACTTCCTTGACGTCACTCTAAGCAGATGATGTGATAGCTCGTTAAGTAGAAGGGTGTATAGATCAAGTCCCTCTGTCTGCCAATATACTCTATTCCATAGTTTTACACCTATCCGCTACAAGAGAAATTCGGTTATATGTCTCACTAGCAGAGCTAAAAAGATATGTACAGGTGAGGCTTTAAGTCAAGAGTTGGAATTTATCAACAACTCACAGACCGAGATCGGCCACCCCAGTGCGTTCATTAAAAAGTAAATGTTGTATGACATTAAAAAAGTCGGAGATTTCTACTGTTTGAAAGAAGCCTTCATACATGAAACTACAATTCAACGGGGATGTGGCTAGTGATACTCTGAAATATAGGTTAACGAAAGTAATCAACAGGAAATTCTACGCAGCCAATCTTGCGTTGACCTTCTCAAGTCGACCAGCGATGTCTACTCAAACGAAGGATAAGTTACAAATTCAGTTGCTCCTGTGGAGATAACTATTTCGGGTGTGCTACCAAGCAACTTAACCAACAAATGAGTGAACATCTACCAGCTTCGTTTATAAAGGACCAGATCAAAACAATACGCAGTTCTATCTTGGCACATCTTATTGATAGCGGTCATATTGTAGATAAGTCGGAAGCATTTCGAGTGATCTATCTATCTACCTCCATCATTTCCCAACGGAGTTCGTTGCCGTCTCCTAAATACACCTAAAGCCATAGGAATTCGTATATATAACCCCGATTTATATGTACAGAAAAAATTCGTAACCCTCCTATCCCTTCCTTGGCCAGTTATAACTTAACAAACGACTTTTTCTTTAATTTTGTTTTCATTTTATTTTATTTTTGTTATCATTAACAGTATTTTCACATTCAGTATTTGTTTGTAATTTTCCGTCTATTTCCGTTTGTATTCTTCACTATCTAATTATTTACGCATTTCTCATTACGTAAAGGTTTCAATGTTTTGTGATGATTATTCTAAGTCTATTTACCCTTGTTTGATCTTCTATTTCCAATTCACTTGATATTGTTTTATTTGAATCCTCCCATTGATGTTTAGGACTGAAATTGTTCAGTCTCTTATTGGCCAATGTGCATACTATGCGTATGCCTCGATATTGCCTTAATTTACAAGCATTATAAGCGAACGGTACTGGGTTCGAGTCCCGGAGTGAGCATCAACTCTGATATGAAGGTACATCCAGCTGACGAGTCCCAGATAGGACGAAACGCGCGTCCTGGATTCCACTGCTAGCCATTATCCATCTTTGCTTATAAAAAGCTTATGAATTAAGGCAATACGCACAGTATACACACATATATATTAGAGTAAAGCCTGATGATGATCTTCATTGAGAACAATATTATTCGCTTATATGTATTGTTCTAATTTTCACAATTGGAATCCTTAATGTTCATTCATTTACATGTTTCTAGCTTACATGATGATCCAAATTATGTTTAAAACAAAAGATGTTAAGTTCGAGTCTCAATTTGATTATAAATACTTTGATTTAAGTGTATGTAACTGATTAGTTCCAATTAGAATGATATACACATCTTCGCTTTCAATGGTATTCACTACGGAGTCTACTAAGAGTTCTATTACGTCTTATTGAGGAAATCTACTTTTAACGACTAACTCTTTATCAATAATAATGTATCCAATCACAATCTACTCAAAATATCTGCATTGAATCAGCTAATTATGTGTAATTATGAATGTTTATGAAGTATTATCCATAGTGTTATGTTGAACTATACATCAGATGATAGTTAATATATTTTGCTTATTTCATTTATGCTTATCGATAAATACGTCATTATCACTGGACATTTATATACTATCACTTACAGTTTGATTTACATTATAATCAGGTTTGAAATGATATGGTTGGTAACCACCTTGTTAAGATTTTCTTAGTTTCTTCTCTATTTTCAAGATTGATTTAAAAAAGAGGATTGAAAGGATTAAGAGGACTACATCTTATAGTTTTAAACGTACTCCTACACCACATAACATCGCACGTCGGAGCAGTCGGTTGTCGGGCATACGTAAAAGGTGTCCCCGAATGCCCTGTTACAGCCGAGAGTGAGAAGTGTCAGCTCTCTCTCTCCAAATGCTCTCACATGGTCACACGTTTATAGCCTCTGCCAGGGAAGTCCTACTCATTGCCTTCTTGTGGCGGGGGTGTTTTTTATGAAATTGAGAAGACGAAAGTTGAATATATGGCGCTTTAATCAGGTTGGTGGACATGGAGAGTCCACCTAGGGGAGTTGGAAAACCCTCATTCCAAACCAGTGGTGCACATGGGCTGGCTCCAGTATCCTCAAGGAACAAATGGAGTATGAACCAATCGTTGGTCACCGGCTACCATGGGACTGCATCTCCTTACGATGCTCCACTGCCATGTGGATTAGACCTGTAGGTCAAAGGCTCGGGGTGTGACTCTCTAAGAAAACCACCTGTTTCGATTTGGACACCCGTTCAGTATCATAGTACTCACATATATCAAATGAGATTTGTGTGGCGCATATGTGTCTGGTACCCCTTTGTACCAATATATATGTGTTGAAATATATAATAAATAATAAATCTATAAAGTTAAATGCTTCAGTTCGAAATTTTAGCTTCTATTTTACATCTTGAAGTCTCAACTAGAATGTTGTAAGCTCGAATCTTAATGCAGATAATTTAAGTTTATTAGTGAGATATTATCGCTGATTCTCATACTTAAAGTACAGTCCAATACTGGATAGAAGAATCATTGCTTTAGTTATATAAGAAAAATGCCTGAATTATTATTTATTATATATCAGTCAGTCAGTAACAACGTGGAACTTCGTACATACGTACATCAGTTCGAGTTGCCATACCACATTAGCACACAGATGCAGTTGTCGATTCAAATCCCCTGGTGGTAAAGGATAACATCCTGCCTATACTTTTACCGAATGTTTGTTCCTACTTGTTTTGCACTCATGAATAAATATCCATTGTGATAACAGTATTCACATGTCTTTTTTTAGTGAAGGAAGTAATGAAGATTGTTTAATTTTGTAGTTCTTGAATTAAACAGTTATTGAAAACCAAAAAAAAAAAATCGCCGGGTAACTATTTTGTTGTTCAAATTGAAATGTTAAGCGCTCTTCATTCAATCCTTGGTTGGATGGTAATTGGACATTCTTGTACTATGACGTATTAAAACGAAATATCTCTTTCTATGATAACCTGTTTGAATGACTTCAGTTCTTAACGAGTAATATCTTTAAAGTAGGCTTATTTCTACAACGTTAATCCCTTATATTTTGTCCAATATTCGTTCGTATGTTTTTTTTAACAGGTTAATGAATATTATGATGATACATTTGTAATTAGTTCTGCTATTGCTCGACTTCAAGAGATGACTGAAATGCTTCGAGTAAGTTTGCTTATTTTTCATCTATTTTGTTAATAATCTTGAGTTTTATAAGTGATTCGATCATACGTATCTTTAAAGTATTACCCGTGTATTTTGGGGCCATTGAGTAAACGATATCTGGTTTAGGTATAGGGTACTAAGGTAAAGATTGCAAATCTATTGACGAGATAGTAAATCTTTATTAATTGAGGTGATTGGGACACGTGTTATGCATACCTAAATACTAGTGTCTACCTCTACTGGCGATGTTGTCTGGTTTATTATTTATTTATTATTTATTTGAACACATAAATATTGGTACAAGGGGGCACCAAATGAATATGCTCCACACAAAACAATGAGAATTTAAAGAAAAGGAAAAAAATGATGTAAGGAACGTAGGGAATTGTAAAAATAAAGAATAAAAATGAGGGAAACGAAAAAGTACAATCAGAAGAAATCTTACAGTTAAGGGAGAAGCAACCACTCTTTACGAAGAAAGTAAAAGAAAGTTACAGAAGGATTGCCACTGACTTCTATTCTGAGCCACATATGATAACATTTCTAGCCACTGTGTTACACCATCTCTCGGACCCCAACCAGAGAGTCGTGAAGGACCAACACAAGCCAGCCCTTTGCAGCTTGCTTTCATACCACGACACCATGTCATACACTGACCACCTCTCCGCTTTTTCCAACCAGTCCCACAGTCGGCAAATAATGCACGACGAGGAATTCTCTGGGACGAAATTCGTAGAACATGTCCAAGCCACCGAAGTCGGTGTTGCAAGATGGTGACACCAATTGGATTGTCGTCTCTGTGCCCAAACACACGATGCCGAACCTGTTCATTACTAACATGGTGTTGCCACTGGATGTCAGCAATCCTTCGGAGACAGCGATGATCGAACACAGAGTCGTCTAACATCCTCAACTCGGAGAGGCCAGGTTTCACAAGCATAGAGTAGAACTGCTCTCACCGACGCGTTGTAGATCCGACCTTTTACAGCCAGACTGACATCACGAAGGCGCCAAAGATCGCCCAGATTGGCATAAGCCGCTCTGGCTTTCACTATACGTGCATTGATCTCATCACTCACACTACCACCAGCACTTATTCAGCTACCCAGATACACGAACTTCTCGACTAGTTCTATCTGCTCACCATCCAGAGTGAGTACAGGACTAGAATCCTGCCAATCTTGTAGAAGGACTTTGCACTTCGAGGCTGCAAAGCACATACCATACCTACGGACATTGATTGCCAACTGATTAAGTGCGGATTGCATAACTTGGGCATTCTCGCACAGTAAGACAATATCATCCGCATATTCAAGATCGAGAAGTCTTTCTCCAGGCAACAGATCCACACCACCATTACTTACATCCGTCAGAGCTGTTTCCAGAATGTCATCGACAGCAAAGTTGAAGAGGAATGGTGAGATTGGGCAACCCTGCCTAACCCCACTGCTTGAATGGAATAGTGGAGAAAGGTGGTTGTATGCCCTCACTCTGCCTGAGGTGTTTGTGTATAATGCTTTCAGAATATTAATCAACTTCTCAGGCACACCCTGCTTCAATAGACAATCCCAGAGAACAGTTCTGTCCAACGAATCGAAAGCAGTCCTGATATCAAAAACACTACGATTGTTGGTCTGTGATAAGTATGGCGGTGTTCTAACATTTGGCGGAGGGTGAAGATATGATCAATACATCCTCGACCGGAACGACGTGAACCCTTTTTAAAGATAGGGACGACTATCGACTCATTTCATGACGTTGGTACACTCTCTAGTTCCCAGATCTTTGTAAACAACGTCGTCAGCCCCTTAGTCAGAAAGTCACCACCATATTTAAAAAGAGCCGGAGGTAAGTCGTCTGGGCCCGGTGATTTGTAACGTTTCAAGAGTTGGAGTTCCTTGCGGACTTCCGCCTCATTTGGTGAATCAGTCGTCACCGGCCATGGAGGGCAGGACAGTCTGACCGATGTTGCCGGAGCAGCAGGCCAGTTGAACTGCCCTTCGAAAAATTCTGCCCATCGTCCAAGACGTCGATGGATGTTAGTGATTGGCGTTCCGTCAACCTCGCAGATTGTTTCGCTCACACCAGGCTTCTTGCTGCCAGTGGCTCGGATGAGTTGGAAGAGCTTCCGGTAATTACCAAATGCAGCTGCTGCTTCCAACTCACTGGCACGCTCTGACCACCAGGCTTCTCGGTCCTTACACAAGCTTTGCCCGATTTCATTACGTAACATCCTTCGTTTGTGGTCAAACTCACGGTCACCCGGAGTAGACCGACGGGCTTCAATCAGTTGTAAGGAACCAGAAGAAACCCAGTGCTTATAAGCGGGACGTCATGCGATTGCAACCAATGCTCATCTATACTTTTCGGTGGAATGGTAGCTAGCCTAGAAGGTAGCTCGGTTCGGTACTTACTAGCAACAGAAGTTGCAGCCAGCTTGCTAACATCAATCCTTTGGTGGCGGTCACTTCGTTGTCCACTGAAAAGTAAGGTAAGATTGGCGCAGACCAGAGCATGATCAGATTCCAGATAGGTGCTCCAAAAGGAGCGGCAGTCTTGTACACAACCACGCCAGCGGTAGTTGTTCGCGATGTGATCAATCTGAGTCCAGGCTTGAGATGCAGAAGGAGGACGCCAGGTGGCACATCGGCGATGACTGTGCCGCAAGTTAGTGCTAGCCAGAAACAGGTTGTGGTCTGTGCATAGTTGCAGTAGACGTTCCCCGTTATCTGTCCTGCGATCAACAAGTCCCCATCGGCCACCTAAACGATTCTCTTCTGTGCCTAGACGCCCGACCTGAGCATTCAAGTCTCCGGCTAGTACTACAATATCTGTCGAGCGCACTTTCGGGAGAAGAACAGTTAACTGGTGGCAGAACTCATCCTTGATTGCATTCTGGCTGCAATCTGTCGGGGCATAGGTGGAGATGACGAAGAAAACATCGTTTCTCACGCCGATTTCTTCTCACTTTGATGGAACTTTCTTATCTAACAGTATATAACTGACTGTTAATGGGGATCCAATCGATTAGTGCTGCCTCAGCTCTAGCGCTTAGTGTGACACCAACGCCCAGCAAGACCAGACGAAGATGCCACAGGGTCCCCAGATAAACGCACGTAAAACAAGCTTTTTGAAGTGACAGATGGAGAGCGAATTTGTAGTACTTCACCAGAGTCTTGAATACGGGTCTCGGATAGACAACAAACGTCAATATTAAGACTTTCCAAAGACATAGCCATCCCTATCTGTTGTCCGACCTGCATGAAATCATTGACTATTCGAATGAGCCATATTAATAAGTGTGAACTACCTGATTAGAGTCCGCAAAATTGATTAAAATCACACATTCGGATTCATTTTTTTTATCTTCTGATGTCCTCATAACACTCTTTTTACTTCCATTTTATTAATTTATATTTTCTTCTCAAATCGTATATTCCATACCTAATTTTTTTCAATTACCATTGATGCAGTTACTACCTTTAATATTCTGAAGTTTGTTCTGTCGATTTCATGTGTCTGTGCTAATGTGGCATGGCAAATTGAACCGATGTACATACGTGTTGGGTTCTGCATTGCAACTAAATGAGTTACAAATAGTTTATGGTTTTTTACACTGTCAAATAGGGAGAGCTTTATCATATCGTATTTAGGTAAAAAGAAATAGAGAATTTGTTTTTAAAATAGCATAACAATTACTTGTTTTATTGATTTTGGCATATGTTCAGGGGTAATTGTTTATCACTGCTTTTGGGATAGTTTCATTATTATTCTACGTTGACTGCTCGATCGTTAGTTGATCAGTTGTTTATTTATTAACTAGTTCAATTGGTTGGATATTAAAAATCTATAGTATAATGAGAGTCACGTTTTTTTCTTTTGATGTCGAATTCATTCCAACAGATATTCACATCTCTGTGCTAATGTGGTATGGCAACTCGAACTGATGCACGTACGCACGAAGTTCCATGTTGTTACTGACTGACTGACTGATATTCATATATCAGTAGAGGGGTTGTGGAGATTATTAAGTTTATGATTGAGATCATGAACGATTGATGTTAGACCACCGTTGAAAACCTGGAAACACTGGACGGCCATTTCGTCCTATTGTGGGACTCCAGCAGTACGCATACACGGTCCCGCCCCGCGGGATTCGAACCCAGGGCCTTCAGTCTCGCGCGCGAACGCTTAACCTACTGGACCACTGAGCCGACATCCTGTGGTGTTAGTGTCTAACATCAACCATTCCATGAAATTGCGCGACGTAGATACCTGTCTCTGCCCAACACGGATTAGCTCCACTGGTCACGGTTTCTCACTAGAATTCCGAGAATTCCCTCACGAAGCTAGTCACTAGTGAGCACATGGTGATTAGCAGTTTAGGTATTGCGGTGACTGTTAAGATTTTTGATTGAGATCATGAACCGATTGATATTAGACCACCGCTGGAAACCTGGAAGCACTGAACGTCCGTTTCGTCGTAGTATGGGACTCCTCAGTAGTGCGCATTCACGATTCCACTCACGGGATTCGATAAAATTGTTTTCTGTTCTTTAAAAACTGATCCCTTGTATTGGTTCAGGTATAATGAACTATGTTATCCTATCGATTAAGTGTTTGCTAAAGCTTTTATATGTTAGGTAGTTGAGGGTAGTTGGAAAGAACATCTGGACCTGAGTTTTGTGTTTGAAATATTTAAATGGATTAATCATTTAGAAGTTATCAATTTTAAATTCATCTAGTCTTAAGTTTCTTTCACAATATTCTTGTGTACAAAATAGATTTTTTTGTTTGTTTGTTATGATTACAGAAATCTTCCATACATGTTGGTGGTCCAGGACCGTCAAGTTTCTTATATCTACGTGCATTAGCTGATCTTATAGTAATGCTTACACCTATTGCACCAATTTATGCATCTGAATTATGGTCTGGTGTTCAATTGGCCTGTTTACCTTCAAAACATTCAAATTTATATGAAATTCTTTCTGTTTATTCGAATAGAACAATGATGAGAACCAATGAAAGCAAGAATTATTATTATAGTCATTGGCCTTATGATTTGGTAAGATGTTAACTATTCTCATGATGTAATATATCAATAATTCCATCTCATAATATCATGAATTTCAATTCTATATGCTTACTTAATATAAGAGTATTCTCTTGGTGATATGGTTCAGAATCGATCATAATGGCGTCGGTGTATACACTCTTTGTCTTCCCTTAAACTATGAGATTAAAATCACTTCATATCTTTCTTTCTACGTACTAAATCTTCCTTCCTGTACTATCTCCTTATACACAATCTTTCTTCTATATATTACCACCACTGAATTAACTACTTCTATGAATCCGGTATTCAACTTATTGTGTGCTAATGCGGTATGTGCCTGGTCCTACGTTGTAGCTGACGGTCTGACTAACTGAATGACTTAATATAGGATTATTAAATCCATTAATAGTGAGTTCGCTTCATGTTAACAATACTAATGACTTTCACTTTTACACTATATCCATTACATATTTTGATATTTGATGCCGTATGGACATTGTTTCTGTTGCCAATCTATTCCTAATCAGATCATGAGAATAGTGTACTGTTATTATTTTTAAACTTACATTAGTTAAATGATTATAGCATATCATTGATAGAAATTTACAATTTGTACATTTGATGCACATAGTTAACTTCCTTTATTGTTTTGAAAAGAGTAAATATCGGTCATTGATGATAAGGTTAACAACTGGCACCTTTTTACTACGTTTTACTATTCAAACGAACGATGTGTTATGGTTTATATGCTTAATAAGAAAAAACAGGAGTTAATAGGTTTGATCTATCATTAAGCAGTGAAACATGGCCGGTAAGAGTAGAAGATATTCATAGGTTACTATTATTCGATTATAGGTGTCTTCGAAGCATTTCTTGTATATCCTGGGACCACTGAGTAAGTAATACAGTTGTTAAGAAACGGGTACTAGGTAAAGATGGCAAGTCATTTGAAACTTAATCAGTTGAGATGACTGGAATGTGTGTTACGCATGCCCAATCACCGACGAGCGATATTTTATGGTGTAGGAGTATGTTGAAAGAAAGCTAGGGGCTGTCAGACCAAAACATGGTACAAATCAATGAAGTCATTGACAAGTAGATTGAGCCATGTTGTTAGGTGAAGACTACCTGGTTGGGATCCACGAGATGATAGTAACCGATGGTTAGAGACCTTGAATGACATGGCTCAAAATCGTTTGTAATGGCGCCGGTGCATCCACTTTCTGTGTTCTCCCAAACTCTAATCTTCTGAATTGTTCATGTACTTTATTTTCTTTCCAAATTTATTTCACTGTATTATACTCCATCAATAACATCTTGAAACCCTAATCCTTCCGATCACTGCTTATAATTTTGCCACCTGTACCACTACGGGATTTGACTCGACAACTGTATCTCTGTGCTAATGTGATATGGCAAGTCGAACTGATATACGTCCGTACGAAGTTCCACGTTGTTACTGACTGACTGACTGTATTAGCCCGAAGAGTTGACTATGGTTTCATGATTGTATGCAACTCTTTTTATAATTAATCTGAATACTTTTATAAATGCAGAAAAGATTAGGCATTGTTAATGTTATTAGATTGATTGCATAATGTTTTAGATTATTGTTATTCGGTGATTGATATTTAAATTAAAGAATTCAATAAGGTGCTAGTTTTTTTATCCGTTATGATAGTTTTTTTTTGTCTTATGGTATTGTTAAATGGCAACGATTAATTAACGATTTCTTTATGTCAGAAGGGTTTTATGAATAGTATAGTAATTTCAATGGTTAAAGATCATAAGTGAGTTGAAGCCAGACCATCATGGAAAACCTGGAAGAATCGATTGACTGACATGCGTTTACAAATAATTAAAAACCCGAAGAGAACATCACATAAGTTTCATTTTAGTTTGAGACTTCACGATCTACAACCATATTGTTTCTCGTGTATTAGGATCTTTAAGGCTGATCAAAATTACATATTTTATTTATTTATTTATTTATTTGAACATCTAAATATTGATACAAAGGGGCACTGAATACATATGAACCATACAAGTCATTTGATTTATGTATGGGCTATGATACTTCGGATCCATTGACCGGACACTATCAGCAACAACCTACTGTGGAAGAGAACAAACCAGATCCCAGCGGAAGAAGAAATCAGGAAGAAACCGTGGAAGTGGATAGGATACATATTGAGGAAAGTACCGAACTATGTCAAAAGACAAGCCCTCACATGGAATCCTCAAAGCAAAAGGACAAGAGGAAGACCAAAGAACACATTACACCGAGAAATGGAGATAGACATTAAAAAAAGTGAACAAAAATTGGATAAAACTAGAAAAGAAGGCAAAGGACAGAATGGTTTGGATAATGCTGATTAGCGATAGCCTATGCTTCATTCGGAGTCAGAGGCGTAAGGAAGTATGATACTGATCCCGAGTGCCTAAACTGATGTAGGTGATTTTCTGAGAAGGACACATTTCAAAAATTATTTCATATTTACATGTTCAATATCAGTTAGTATGGATGATTATCAATTCAGTTTCTGTTTTTTTCTTTTCTTTTTTTGTTTTCTTTTTAAATTATTTTAGACAAAATATGTACTTGAACAACCATTCCCTAAATTTTTATACTCTACTGAAATACCAGAATTAATTGTAGAACAATCTGAAATAAACAATACTACTACTACTACTACTACTACCACTACTCCTCTTTCAAAGTGAAGTTATTTTATTGTGTTGATTTTGGTGCCCAATAGTGAGGGATGAATTAAAGATAATATAAATGATTGGGTATGTATATATATATATATTTATATATGGTTAATTGTAAATTGCTTATTACAATATAATAAAAATAATAATAATACTTGTTTATAGATATTACTGTCTGTTTTGGTCGATGAAATTCTTATTAATTCACTATTATTATGATTGATTATTGATTATTGGTTATTGATTAATGATTATGAATAGTACTATATATTATCATTACTATTACTATGATTTGATTACTTGTATTATTGTACATTTATAAAATTGTTATTTGTTTGTAAAAATAAGTAGTTTTCACCCTCCTTAACTCCCTCCCTCTCTCACTCCCGCCTTCTCCCCCCCCCTCTCTCTCTCTTCTTTTCTCTATCTGGTTTTCTTTTATGTACTATGTATTAGATTTATAAATAAAATTATGTTATTAGTATAATATTTACAATGTACTTAATGTACAATGTACTTAAGAAATATTTATTTATTTATACACATAGATATTGGTACACGGGGGCACCAAATACATATGCGTCATACAGATTTCATTTGATATGTGTGAGGGCTGATACTGAACGGGTGCCCAAACCGAAACAGGTGGTTTTCTTAGGAGGTCACACCCCGAGATTTTGACCTAATGGTCTAACCCACAAGGCATTGGAGCATCGTGAGGAAATGCAGTCCCATAGTAGCCGGTGACCAACGATTGATTCATACGCCATTTGTTCCTTGAGGATACTGGAGCCAGCCCATGTGCACTATTGGTTTGGGATTCGGTTAAAGTGCCAGACGTTCGCTTTTCGTCTTCTCAATTTCGTAAACAACAGACAGTGAGTAGGACTTCCCTGGCAGAGGTTGTATACGTGTGGCCGCGTGAGGGCATTTCGAGAGAGGGAGCGGACTTTCCCTACTCTCGGCCATACCAGGACATTTGGGGGCTGTATAAGAATTCTAATGGTTAAATGTATTATACCGTTTAAAGTACATAATTTAGATACATGTAAAATAAGGTTCAAAAACAATGATTTAAGTGATAAAAAGGCATTCATTGAAGATTTCCACTCTTAAGTTATCTGATAAGTTTTGCTAATTGATTGCTATATTCTGTTCTTAAGCTATTCTCGTAACCGCCCCCTCCAATCAGGAACTATACAGCGATCTGAACACGAGAGAAAAAACGCAAATTATGCGAAAAGTACTTTACTCCAACGGTTTGTTTTAGTACAGAAAATCTAGAGTTTTTATTGTATTTTAGATGTTCTTGGGTTGTTCGAAGATTCTTGAATGCTACTAAGCATAGTAATGTAGTGAACAAGAACACCGATGGGGATAATCGAATGTATTTGACAACAAATTACAGAATTAGTTAGTAAAATCTGACAATCATATAGTAAATGGTCAATTTATAAACTGTCCATCAGTTGTCTCAAATGACTCAGACTTCCTTTGTTCTTGCATTTTCACACAAATTGCGTTCTGTTTTCATTCTTTACTGTTCAATCTTCTTGTCTCTCTGCTGCCAGACATTCTGTTCCTGACTAACATCATATACCACTTATATCTACATAAGTAACACACACCACACTCGTTCCCCCTTTAAAAAAGTCGTTCTTGTGGTGGTTCATGCTCGCCGTGCGACATTCCTCTTTTCTGCAGTTTGTGCTACGCCCTCCGTCAAAATGTCGAGTCTGCGGTGCGCTGAACTTCGTAGCTCCGTCAACCTGCCAGGTCGCCAACTTTCGACCTCCACCCGGCACCTGGGACGTTCAACACCCATGCTCCACCGGCCTTCTGAGCCATCTACATCTGATGTCTGCCCGGCAGCCGCACGTCCCACCGCTCCTCTCCGTCGACAGCATCCGCCACAGCCAACGCCGTCCCTCCAGAACACTCCACCAGACACCACCCCTCCGCACGAGACTGCCCCAACCCGCACCTGAGCCGCAGGCCAACAACGGCGTCCGCAGAATATCACCCTTCCCCTCTCGTGGTTGGCAGCGACACCAAATGTAGTGGACAAGAACATAAATGGAGATAATCGAATATATTTGACATCAAAATACAGAATTAGTTAGTAAAATCTAACAACCATATATTAAATGGTCAATTTGTATACTAACTTTACAGGTTATTCCTTACTTACAATAACTAGTCAATCACATAACTTAATTCTTTACCCATCAAGACAAACTACACATGCAATGAACGAAGAATATGTATGGGAAACCAATTCATTTTCTAGTTCAAAATTCTTTGTAAATTCTAGAAACCACACAATAAATGCTTCATTTATACACCATCCATCAGTTGTCATTTATATTATTCATGATTCCAATTTCGGAACAGTATTATAACTCTTAATTAATAAGTTACAACCATATTGATTCGCTTCATCAAAACATCCGATTCAAATGAAGAACGGCATGATCATTCACAGAGTATCAGAGAATTAAAAGACAACAATCTGTAATCAAGAGGGCATAAGACCTAACAAATGTAAAGAAGACCGTAGTAAGTAGCCGATTCCGATAGATGTGACATCCGAAATGAGAAGTACCCCATTCTATTTCGGCTTATCCAACTGGAAGCATCTACATTGATCTTAGTTGCTCAATGGATGTTGAGAAGGCTAGATGTTCAGAAATTACTTGGTGAAACTTTAATTTATTCGCGTAAAATCTCATTTTCTATTTTCATGCTAAAAAACGCTCAATTTTACATTCAGTTTGTGTTTCCTATCTGAAAGAACCTTGAACGTCACTTATTCAATTTCTCTTCTAATGGGCTATTTTGTGACGTTTTTCATGGGCATTTTTGTATTTCGTATATACGCGTGAGTTGAATGCTTGTTCGTTCGTTCTCTCAGACCACTTGTGGAAGAAATGTTTTCCTGACTGAATGTGGTCTTCTACCTCTAGTTAGCCAGGCTGCGGTTCAGTGGAATGGCTTGGCTGGTTTCGATGTTATGTTGCTTACATTCTTTACATTAGCCGGTACTAATCTCTTGAACATAGCAGTGGATAAGGTTGTTATTCATTTAACGTGGGCAGTACTGTGTTCGATTCCCAATTTTAATTTCAATACTTGTCGAATATTTGTTTTAATTCTAGTAAATGACCAGTTCATAGAAACTTCCTGAAATGATACTGGACTGTTCATATTTATACATTTACTCCAGTTTAATATATTAGTTGCAGAATGTGTAATGAGCTGAGTAGATTGAAGTTAGCATGGTGATTTACATGAATCATTTGTCATTTTCAGTAATGACTTTGGTTCATCGGTTTTATTCACCATGTTCTCCATACTATTCTCCTTTCCATCAACCACTAGTTCGATTCCTACTGTGAGTGAATAATAGTAAAATTGAAACACTAATTTATAGACATTCATCTTCAGACCCTACTATCCTTTATTGCACCAATGTTTTGATGACGAATAGATAACAATACATTGATATTAACGGTTAATATTGTTAATGAAAGAAAAAATTTGTGATATGTTAATTTGACAGTAAATTAATTGTTACAACAATATGGGTAAATGAAAAATGAGTGAATTCCGGATCATTATTCTCAAATTCAAATTCATATCTTTTCATTGATCACCTGGAATTCAAAAAGAAACATATGAATACTTAGTAATATGATACGTCACACAAATCCTTCTGGAGCCCCTCCGATGGCTACTGACGGTCTCAAGCCTGGATAATGGAAGAGGGTTGGGCATGGGATTAGCGAGCCTATCCTATAGAAAACTAACTCAATTAAAAAAAGCGCTAACCAGAAAAACAATTAAGTATGATAAGTCATACAAATCTACATTTGAAAAGAACAACTTGACAAAAGTAAAACGGTTTAATAGATCTTGATCAATATGTATGTATTCATTTGTTCAAACACGATGTATATCTCACTGAAGTCATGGAACAGAAAATCACCATATGGTCATATGTGAAATACAATCGTAAACATTTATCTAAATCTACTCTTCACTAGACTATATGTCAAGCAACTATTTGAACAGATATTCATTTCAATAGAAATCGTGTATTAAATCTAATCAATTGATATGTAGTAGTCTATCATTCCATTTTGATTACTTTCATTATTACGAGAATGGGTTTTGTGGAGAATTGGTAATTTCAATAGTTGAAATCATGAATCAATTGAAGCTAGACCACCATGAAAAACCTGGAAGCACTGGACGGCCGTTTCGTCCTAGTATGGGACTCCTCATTATATCAAGCACACAATATTTTGTCTTTATACAACATACTTTCATCAGATATTGTTTCATATATAAAATTTTCTACACATTTGATTCAGCCCCCAAATGCCTTGGTATGACCGAGAGTGAGGTGGGACCGCCCTCCCTTTCGAAATGCTCTCACTCGGCCAAGCGTATACAGCCTATCTCAGGAAAGTTCTACTCACTGCCTTCTCGTGACGAGGATGTTGTTTACGAAAATCAGAGGACGAAAAGCGAATGTCCGGTGTTTTAACCGGATCCCAAACCAATGGTGTACATGGGTTCCAGTATCCTAAGTGAGTAGATGGCGTATGAATCAATCGTTGGTCACCGTCTACCATGGGACTGCATCTTCTTACGATGCTCCACTGTCTTGCATGTTAGACTTTTAGGTGGCTCCATAAGAAAACCACCTGCTTCGATCTTGGCACCCGTTCAGTATCACAGCCCACATACTAATAAAACGAAAATTTGTGTGGCGCATTTATATTTGGTGCCTCCATGTATCAATATTTATGTGTTCAAATAAATAATAATAAATAACATTTGATTGAATAGTTTACTTACCTCTCAATTTGGATACATGTGATAACATTTTATACTTAACTAAAATTTGAGAAAATGAATAATAAAAAAAAATCATCAAATAACTGAATATTTATTATCAGTATTAGGGTTTGTGAAGATTAAAATCATAAATTGACTGATATTAGATCACCGTTGGAAATCTGGAAGCACTGGATGGCCGTTTCGTTCTACTATGGGACTCTTCAGCAGTGTTTACTTTGTTTCAACATCTATCTTTTCATTTGTTTATGTCACATATACAATGTTTCTATAAGCAATTGTTTAATACATTATATGGATTCAACAATGTTTATGTGAATAGTAATGTTCACTTAAATACTTGCAATTTAATTGTCCATCTATTAAGTTCATACTATCGAATTAGTCTTTAAAAGTAAATGCGATCTTATCTTCTATACTTTGATATTTATATTGAGTATTATCACAAATATGATAGATCAATTATGCAAGAATGTTCAAATTCAGATAGAGTACCAATATAGTGTTTAACTTTATTTGTGACATCATTGTCTTGGTCATTATGTTCATTCATTAACTTACTTACTTACACCTGTTACTCCTCGCGAAGGAGTATAGGTCGCTCACCAGCATTCTCAATCCAACACTGTCCCAAGCAATCCTTTCCAGCTCTTTCCAGTTCTTATTCATCTCTTTCATATCTGCTTCTATT